AACAGATACAAAATTTACCAGTAAAGCTTCAAGAAATTGCTGATGCTAAGTGTGATTTTAGAATAACCTTTTTCCTTACTGAATACATAGATAAATCACCTATAAATAGGCGAGTACAAGAGATAAAAGGAGGAAAGAAATCTTCCTACAATTAAGTAATTCCTATAATTAAGGAATAAACATAAATACCTATAATTAAGGAGTTACCCTTTTTATACCATGACAAAATATAGCAAGTACTAAATAGAATAATGTAAATAATAATGAGCATAATTCCACATTAACCAACTCCAATATGAATCGCTCTTAACTGCTTAAGTTAGAGAAAGGGCCAACACAATCCTTGCCCAACAATGTGATCAACAAGGGACTGGTAATTGGTAGAAGTTCCTAATCCGGTTGGTGTGAACTTTGTGAGAACATGGTTGAATGAGTGGCTTCCGTTTTGTCGAAATAGATTCTCTAGTACTTATTGGCCTTCTAGCAGGATCAACAGTAAAATTAAATTCCTTAAAAACTTTTAATGAAGATATTGTTATCAGATATAAAATAATTGGATGCATGATCCAAATGGATGCACATTGCAGCGCCGTGTATGTAGTGTCCTATTGGTCAGGTAGATTTTTTTTCATTCCTTCATCCCAGAACTTCATCCACCTAAATGCCCTCTAGCTTCTGTAGTTAAGGTCCGACTAGCTTCCTAATCTTTTTTGTATACAAGTTTTTGTATTTTGCATACTTAAAAGTAGCCTTGGGGATCTTCACCAAATGTTGAGTTAGCAACAAAATTCATCATGACATGGCCTTTTTTGGCTTAGTGGGAAACATACTGAATGTCATATTCGTACAACTTTGTGAACCAATTTGTTAGCCACCCATAAAGCTCTTATTTCTATATAACTTGTCTGATTGGTTGGTCAGTCATGATTTTGATAAGAAAACTTGGTAATAAGGTCTCAAACATTTGGAAAAAATGATCGATATTAACACCAGTTTGTCCATCAATAGATATTATTGCTAACATAATACACTAGATATTATGGCCTTCTTTTTTCCACTGGAATGGGGTTGAGCATCATGTTAGGAACTTTGAGATAAGGAGAAAATGCTCATTTAGCTTTGAACTTCACCAATAGCAGCTTTTCTAGGATTTTGAAACAAGAGGGAGGAGCCGTTCACCTAGTAGACAAATGGTGGAAGCAGAGCTCCTCTGCAAGGCAATTTTCTCATTGTGCTAGATCCAGTGAAGCATATATAGTCGATGTGTTATGAGCTTTATAGGTGGCATTCTTTGATAAAGTTAAAGAAGCAACAAAATTCAGCGGCAAAGTTGAAGGAGCGATAGAATCGACTTTTATGGTTGGGTTTGGTGTGGCAAGATATGAAACTATATGATTTGGGATAGTTTCTGGAATTGTGACATTGTAATGTAAGTTTTGGCAGTCAATGAAGAGGGACAATTCCTAACACTCTTCGAGAAGATGGAATTAGTGAGAATAAGTGCACGATTTTCGGCTTTAATCAAGAGTACTCAACAAAAGCACTTGAGATGTAAAAGATGGGAAATGGTCTGGTGGATTGATAAGCATGATTCAATCCAAAGTCCAAACGGTTCACCATGGAAGATGGAAAATCAAGAATGTGGAAGATAAAAGGGTCATCGAGGAAGTTTACTTCCTAATGAAAGGTTTGTTCGAGGCAAGAGCTAGAGTAGCAAACATATAGAGAGAGATGAGAAAATAACATGGAGATTTGTTTTTTTTTTTTGGTAGTGTTTCAGCTTTGCCACATCTGTTTTTTTTTAAAGGAAGAGGATAGAAGTTTCCTTATTTGAGAATAGATTAAAAAACACGCTACTTCGAGGCTCACACTTTTTTTTGGAAGGGAATTGGAAAAATTCCGTGAATTCCATTCTTGTCTTAGTTGTGTAACCTCTATAAACCAAGGGATATGTATTTGTAAGTGATGTTGAGTCATCAGCGATATGGCCAATGATGTAGGGTGATATTGGCAAGCCATGTTAGTGAGGCATGATAAATGATATTTTGTGGAGTGTGGTGACTATAATTTATCTTAGAGAGGGGCGGTGTGATCAGAGTACCCATGGCGTCTTTATGACTCCCTAAGAATGGGTGGAATAAATTTCGGTGGTTGTTGGCATGCATGACAAAAGGCTAAATCTTTTGGCTTTAAGGAGCAAGCCCAGTCGAGTGTACACAAGGATATTGAGATTTGATCTATCAATGTCCCTTTCACGATATGATCTACCATAAATTGCTTGGAATATAACGCAAGTCTTCCAATATTTGGTCGATTAAGGAGATTGGGAACTAGTTAGTGGTTCATGGCACGGGAGCAGCTTGGATAGATGTTGGATAGAGTCACATTGTGAATTTGATAAGCTCGTAATAGCAAACTAGCCAAATCAAATTTCAAATGCTCCTTGACACGTGGATGACTCTGATGAGGCACGTAAAAAAGGTTTTCCAATTGACATGTGAGACCAGTAGCCACTATAAGGTAAATTATAAAGACAATAATTTGTAATGCCAGCTTACAACTTTTGAGATAATTTTTGCTTCCATTTGCTTATATGTTATTAGGCTGGTTGAACTATTTCCCTATTTTTACCACTTCTGAAGTTTTTTTTACATCATTTTTTTTCAGGGAAGTGGAAACCTTAACAGGATAGTGCTTTGAACATCCAATGGGAATTTGCTTGGGACGGGTAAGCTGCTTTTAATCTTTATAAGATATATTCTTTATGAGATAGTTTATGCCTTAAAAAATGTTTCTGTGCTCCTGCTCCATCCATGATTTTATCAGCTTATTTTTTCTTCTAGCATTCTCTTAGCATTACCAATAGCACCTCATCTTTATTTTGTCTCTTTGTGTTTTAAAGGAGCATTTACGTACATACCACCCATTCCTCTGTATTTACATATCTAACACATAAACTTTAACTTATACATTTATACCACCCAAATCTTTCATATCCTATAAAAAATATCACCATTTTAACTTTTTAAATGTAAAATACACCTTTTTATGTATAGATAATGTGGTATATATATTCAAAAGTTGAAATTTAAGTAAATACATAAGAATTGAGTGGTATGTATCTGAAACTTTCTATTTTAAATTAGAATACCATTATGTTATCAGTTAAGCTGATGTAATAAGGTGTTCTCTAACCGCTGGGTTTCAGAGCTGTGAAAGCGTGTACCCTATAGCATAGTTTATGCAATACTTTGTCTCATCATTTTTTTTCTCTGATGATTTACGATCTGTTTAATTTGTCTCACGATTTTTTTCTCCATGATTTCGCATCCTTTATATGTTATTTTTGTGAAGTTATTGTCTGCTTTGTAATTCTAAATTAGGAATCTGAACCCTTAAAATCATAGGTTTCAAATTTTCAAAAATTTGTAACTAGGAGTGTAAACAAGATGAGTTGAACTCAAGCCATACCAAGTTCAATCTTGCCTCGTCTATCAATTTGTGAGCTTGAGCTCGAGTCGAGTTTGAATGATGATCTCAAGCTCGAACTAAAAATTTAATTTTTACGGGCTCACCGGATGGTATTGGTGGGAAGAGGATGTAGTGGCAGGTCACTGAAAAATGCATTGAAATGACTAGTGGTAGATTAGTTGGTCGGCTCGCGAGCCTACTTGCTCATGTTTAACTATGACTTTTTTTTTAAAAGATAATTACAGATAGAATCATCTTCTACTGTATTCAATAATTCCTGTTACTAGTGGATGTGAATTTAGTATTATGTGATATTGAACTGTAAGGGTAATGTTATGGGAATGAGATTAATATTTTTTTTCTCTCTTTGTTTTCGTTTGTTTCTTTGATGAACTTTCTGAACACACAAAGAAAAAAAAAATGTGCAGCTCGAAATTTTTATTGACAATTTTTTTCTATTTATCATAATTATTATCCTACACTTGACACTTCAATTTGATAATTGATTACATCCATCTGTTCTATGTGCTATTATATTGGATAAACATAATCTTGCTTAGGGGCATTTGCATACATACGACACAATTCTCATGTATTTACTTGTGTAGAACCTAAACTTTCATATTTACACACATTATACTCTTAGCTTTAACATCACGTAAAAAATACCGCCATTACTAACTTTTTAGAAGCACATTTGTCTTGCATTGGTTTATGAACCAAAGTGCTATAATTCTAAATATTAAACTTGAGGTGTTAGACATGTAAATGCATAAGATATATGTGGTAGGTATGCATGTGTCTTTTTCGATATTTTGAATGATTTAACATTTCTATTTTTTTATTTTGTCATTGATGGGCTGAAGGCTGATTTTTTATGTTCATGTAGAGTCGAGATAAGGCTGATGATTCTAATGTTTGTTTCACCTACGGAAATGCACATATTGTACGCAGCCTAGAAGACTGGGATGAGAAGATTTCTGAAGCGAAAAAAGAAGGCAAAATAGTAAGTTTTGAGATTTTTAACTTGTTCGTGCTACTCAGCTATTAGCTAGTCTACTCAAAACTATTTGTTTTAAGGGGAAATTACATACAGACCACCCAAAATATTGCTATTTTCAAATCAACCGCCCTCTCTCATCCATTTTTAAAATTCTCATTGAAATATCAAAATTTATGTTAAGACCCCAATTCATATTTTTAATTTTTATCAAATTCTCAATAGTTTGATCGCGGCACTTGAAAATTCATCGGTTTGGTAGTTCAAAAAAATCACCTAGCTACTTAATTTGTTAATATCAATGTTTCAAGTGGTGTATATGTAAATGTAATTATCCCTTTTTGGGGGCATTTATATGCATAGTACACAATTGTAATGTATTTACATAATTCACACCAAAACTTTCATTTTTACACATATTACTGGACCTTTAATCTCACATTAAAAAATAGCAATATTTCCATTTTTTAACAGTGAAGTACACATTTTTTTCCATAGATTTACAATACTAAAAGTTATATATGTTAATATGAAAGATTAGGTGTGAGATATTAAAAAACCTAAGATTTGTGTACTATCCAATTTAAGCTCTTGACTTTCTATTGTGATTCAAAATAATCATTTGACTCCTCTAATCTGACAAAAAATAATCGACAAAGTGATTATTTTCAATCATTTGAGGAATTAAGAGACTAAGAATGTGCTTAGGGCGGCTAAAGCTTTTTATAAAGGTGTTTGTAAAGTCGTGGTAAAAAAAACTTCTTTCTAAAAAGTAATACTGAGAATTGTAAATATTTATTTTTTTCTAAAAATCAAACAACAATTTTCTTACATCAATCACATTTTAATTGATCTGGTTGCAAAAATCGGCTTCTCATCACAATTTTTTTTAGAAAGCAGCAATAAAGCAATTCCCCAACAAAATTGTGTTTGCAGTTTGAAACACTGTCAGTTGTGGAGTCTGATTGTACCACCCATGAGTATCGGGTAGGTTGGCTTCCACCCAGTCAATGCACTCGGGCCCAAGGTGTTAGGCTATGGACGCTTAAGCGCCCATTGAGTGTTCCTAGACCGAGAAGGTAGAAGTCCTGCACCCAAACTAGGCACTTAGGCCCCCAAAGTGGACGCTTAAGCGCCCACTTCTGGATCTGGGGCGCTTTTAAGAACTGGGCGTCCAGGCGTCCAAATCCGGGCGTTAGGGGCCCAATGCAGTTTTCACGAGAACTGTTATTTATGTCAGGATTTTGGCCAGCGTATGTGTGGGCTTGGAGCGTAACTATTTATGTTTGTTCATCAACAAAATTCAGGTAAAGATGAGAAGTGTTGGTGAGAAGGATTCTGGTGTTTTTCGACGTGCGTTTTAGTGTCAGATCAATAAAAAGAGTGTGATGTGGTGCACTGTAAGTTCTTGTGAGTGTGGAGACTAAACTTGTGTGAATCATTTGTAAAACTCTTTGAAATTTATAGTGAAATTTGTGGTGGTGTGGCTTCGTAGTTTTTTCCCGTTCTCAGGTTTTTCCACGTAAAATAATTGTGTTCTTTTCTAAGTTTTTTTATTGCGCTTCTGGTTTAAATTTATTGTTCCGATTTTCTCGAATCCTGGGATCCTATTTCGTTTTGACATTGAGAATTGTTTGGAGGATTTCCAACAAAATTGGTATCAGAACAAAATTCGATTCAAGTGGGAGCAATGGTCGAAGAAGCAAGGTTCAAGATGGAAAAATTCAATGGGATGAACTTCGCTTTTGGAAAATGCAGGTGGAGAATTTGTTGTATCAAAAAAATTGTACTTATCACTATAAGGAATCACAAAGAAGCCTGAGTCTATGTTTATGGAGGAATGACAAGTGTTGGATCGAACGACAATGGGCTTGATGAAGTTAACATTATTCTCATTTGTCGCGTTCAACATTGTGAATGAGAAAACTATAGTGTATCTCATGGCGGTATTGACCAAGATGTATCAAAAACTTTTTGTTTCTAATAAAGTTAAAAACTTTTTGTTTCTAATAAAGTTTTTCTGATGAAAAAATTATTTAACATAAAGAAGGCGGATGACAGTCCAGTGATAAAGCATCTCAATAATTTTAACACTGTGACGAATCAGTTGTGTTTTGTGGGGATCAAGTTTGATGTACGCGATGATTTGTACCATACCAGATATTACATATACAATAATAGTCAACAGGTACATAAACAATCTAGGCAGACATCATTGGGAGGTAGTATAGTGGATTATCAGGTATTTGAGAGGAACAATCGACATGACACTTTGTTATGAAAATACTAGAATCAGTCTACAGGGATTCGTAGATTCAAATCTGACAGGAGATCTGGATAGTAGGAGAAGTACAACGGGGTATATCTTCACATTGGGGAACACAGCGGTGAGTTGGGTTTCCAGTTTGCAGAAGATCGTTGCACTTTCTATTACGAAGGCCGAATATGTTGTTATTATTGATGTTAGCAAGGAGATGATTTGACTACAGAACTTCATGACAGAATTTGGCAAGGAGCATGAGATTGAAAAACTCTACAGTGACAGTATGAGTGCAATTCATTTTGCTAAGAACGTTGTTTTTCATGTCATGATGAAACAAATCCAGCTCAGGTACCATTTCATTCGATCTCTTCTAGAAGATGAACAATTATTTCTGTAAAAGATATGTATAGTTGATAATCCAGTGGATGTGTTGACGAAGGTGATAATTGTTGAGAAACTGAAGTTGTGTTTGGCTTTAGTTGGGTTTCATGAAGGTTGAGACCGGGTGTGAGTCACACCATGGTACGTGATTTTAAAGGCAATTCAGATGGAGGTGCAGGTACAAATGACTAGATTTCGTGCTATCAACTCCAAGTGAGAGATTGTTAGTTGCGGAGTCTGATTGTATGTAGCACCCATGAGCAGGCTCACTTAGACGCAGTCAGTGCACCCGGTGCCAAAGTGTCGGGCTATGGGAGCTTAAAAGCGCCCATTGAGTGTTCCTAGACTGAGAAGGTGGAAGTCTCGGGCCCCCAAACTGGGCGCTTAGGCACCTACTTATGGCACTGGGGCACCTACTTCCAGAGAACTGGGAGTCCAGGCGCCCAAATCCGGGCACCTAGGCGACGAGCAGTTTTCACGAGAACTGTTATTTATGTCATGATTTCGGGCAGCGTATGTGTAGGCGCGGAGCGAAACTCTTTCTGTTTATTCATCAACAAAATCCGGGTGAAGTTAAGAAGTGTTGGTGACAAGGATTATGTTGTATTTCGACTTGTGTTTCTGCGTCGGATCATTACGAAGAGTGGAGTGGTGCACTGTAATTCTCTTCATGTGAATGCGGAGAAGAAACTTATGTAAATCCTTTGTAATACTTTCTGAAATTCATGGTGAAATTTGTGGTGGCGTGGCTCCGTTGTTTTTTACCTTTCTCAGGTATTTTCACGTAAAATTTATTGTTTCGATTTTCTCGAATCTCGTGATCTTATTCCATTATGATATTGAGAATTGTTTGGATTCCTAATAAAACACAACATATGCAAAAGATTGAACAGGCCGTTTCATAAAATGCTCAAATTGATTGGCTTTATTTTCATAGACAGATGGCAATCATTTGCACATAATATCCGTCATATTTCTATATTTACATTTTAACGACAGAATTGTAATGAACGCAGGTTGTCGTGAATTTCAGCGCAGCTTGGTGTGGTCCTTGTAGAGTGATAATTCCCTTCTTCGCTGAACTTTCTCTCCAGTATCCTCAACTATTTTTCCTCAGCGTAGACGTTGACGATTTACCGGTAAATATCCCTGCTTTCCTTGATTTTTTATTAATACATGTCATAATCATGTGGATCAATTATTCTTTCATATCTATTTTTTGCCGTATTTTATTTTCTTTTTTATTTTTATTTTTTAATTAGGCCCTTACAATTACCCCTAATTATGTATCCCTTTTGCCCTAAGAACAGAGAGAGAGAGAGAGAGCTGAGCCTAGGCTCCACTTTTAGTATAACTAAGTTGAGCCAACTTGTGAGCTTGTTTCGGTTTGGTTTTGATAAATGACTCATAAACTAAACTTAATGAGCTAACAAGTGAAGCTTGAGTCCAGCCTTGTTCGATAGCCTTTTGAGTTGGCTAGTTTAAAAAAGGGGCATTTACGTACATAGCATGCAATTCTTATGCATTTACGTTTCTCATACCAAAACTTTCATTTTTTCGTGCATACAACTCCATTCTTTCGTATCACATCAAAAATAGCATTAATCATCACTTTTTAATAGTCAAACTCATCGTTCCATGCATGGGTGAAGTATTCTACGAGTAAATAGGAAAGTTTAGGTATGAGATATATAAAATTGAAAACCGAACTGGATATTGAACCTGGGTAATAAGAGAGGTTGAACCGGGATTCGACCCGATGTCCTAATCATTCATAAATATATTTAAAAATAACAATAGATAAGATTTACATGACTCTCGACCCCTAAAATTCAATTTTAACATGTCATTTTATTATGCTTGCATCTCAAACTGATGGAATGGTTATATGAACACAGGATCTCTGTACTTCAATGGATATACACGCCACCCCAACCTTCTTCTTCTTCCGCGATGGAAATCAAATTGACAAACTCGTGGGTGCCAACAAACCCGAATTGCACAAAAAAATTCTCGCTTTTGCAGAATCAGCCCATTGCTCCAACTGATTCTCTCTCTGTAAGGGCATTTACATACATACCACGCAATTCCTATATATTTACATGTCCAACTCCTGAACTTCATTTTCGAACATCTCTACCACCCAAATCTACATCAAGAGTACTACTATTTTGACGTTTAGGTGTTATATATGTAAATACATACGAATTAAGTGGTATGCATGTAAATCTTCCTTTCTTTTTTCCTTTGATTTTTTTTTGTTTAGGGTTTAGGGTAACTCTTTACCAATTCTCTGAGCGCTATATGTTAACCATGTCATTTCCATTGCTGTCTTGCGGTGGTTAGGAAGACAGTTTGGTTTGATTTTATGGCTTAGTTTTGTGCTGGAACTTGGATGTATTTACATATCTAACACCTAAACTTTCATATTTGCATATGTAGCACTGAAGATTTTAATATCAAATAAAAAAAAAAAATACTACTTTTATTTGTTTTTTAAAAGTGGAATATAATTTTTCATGCATTGGTTTATGAAATCAGTGTTATAAATGTGAATATAAAATTTTAGGTGTGATATATGTAAATTTTGTATTTGTTTTTCAATTAGTTTTTAGAGTTAAACGGACGCTCGATATTTCTCTCTCTAAAGGTTTGTTTGCGGCAACTGTAGCTTATTGAATAACTGCTGATAAGCTAGGTGCGGTGGTTATTACAAATTTTTATTTTTTTGAAAAAGTCAGGTCATTGTCAATAAGCTCCCACCACACCTAGATAGGCGTTGTTTTCTGCGTTTTGAAAACGCATAAGCTATCAAAACGTAGTTTATCCAAACAGATCAAATGCGTTTTTAAAATGTCACCGTACCAAATAAGCTGCCTTAAAGGGGCCCTAAGCATTACTGAAGTAAAAGTACAGAATAGTAAAATGACATGCTGAACTAAGCTCTGGCCATTAACATTGCTCTTTATATTTATATATGAATGCCATTGAATAATCCCAACGTGCGCTTGTCATGGATTCATGTCTTATCTTTGTTCTTTAATGTTCAAAAATCAATAATATCAATATTCATTTAACCCAAAGCATTATGGAAAAATTAATATGCATGCACCAATTATTATGCTAAATTTGCATATTTAATACCTACTCATAATTATATTTATAACCCTGTCTAACAACTAAACTTTCATATTTATATTCATATAGCTCATGTCAAAATTTTATGCATAAATATATGTATTAGTTATAAAAATTAATAATAATAATTTTTTTAATGTAATATAAAAAAGATTTAAATACATTCCACTTAATTCTTATCTATTTAAATATCTAACAACTAAATTTTATATGCATTCTTCTAATAATCACAACTACCAAAACAAACCCTTTTAGTAAAATTACGTTTTCTAAAAAGTTTCTTGTTCTCTAACAGCCCGTATTTGGCTCGTTAAATAGCTCATGTTCGAATCATTCATTATTAAGTAAACCAATCAATTGTTACGTTCAACTCGTTTAAACTCAAAATAATAAATAAAAAAACTTATATTTAAATTTAAATCATAATATTTCATGTGAATATGTAATTATTCATTTTCTACTGCACATAAGTGATGCAAATTCAATTCTAACACTACATCTATTTTTATAATTAATTTAAGGAAGCCAATTTCAAAGAGAACATGAATGAGAATATTTAACTCGAGCAGAACACGAACATAATGTTCACTAGCACTTTCAAATACGAGCCAATTTTGAACACAATCAATTTTGAACAAGCAGAACACGAGGCAAGACCGCCCTAATAAAATCAGGGGCAATTACATACAGGGCACCCAAAACATTGCTGTTTACAAATCAAGCAATCTCTTTCATCCATTTTTCAAATTCCCACTCAAATATCAAAGGTCCCCAACCTTTAGTTTTCATTTTTATCGAATTGACAATGATTTGATAGTGGCACTCGTGTAAATGCGTCTGCGCTTGATTTGTAAATAACAATATTTATTGTGCTCAAAATGTAATTATCCCCTAAAAATATTGGCCATCATAAAACAGCCTCCCAAGTCACAACTACAACAATCTCCAAAGCCACCAAAATCAGTAATGGCATCTTAAAACTAGAATTTGTTCGGCGCATTCTCAAAACTAAATATTCAGAGATGAAGGTAAGAACCTCTAGTGCATGCAGCCCCGGCAGGCCTCACCGTCCCTTGGGGTTCATAATCTGAGAGAAAACCGCACTGGGGGTGAGCCCATCTGAGTCCTCACTCACAATACTCCGGCCACCCATGCTCATCGTCGAGCTCGTCGTCATCGTCGTCGTCCTCGACTCCATGGACGGATCATCCACATCCTTCTTCCCCCCATCCACGACCTCCAAGCTTTCATCCACCATAAACACCCCGCTCTCCTCCGCGCTCTCCTGCAGCTGCAGAGCAAACTCCAGATTCCACAGCACATCTCCGGTCGCCGGCCGATCGATTCCCTGATCCGACACGCACTTCTCCGCCGTCTCCGCAAACTTCTTGAAGCACTGCGGCGCAATCTTCCCCTTCAGATACGGATCGATGATGTGGTCCAGCATCCCCTTCTTCTGGCAATGCAAAGCCCATTCCGCCAGGCTGACCTGCTCCTTCGGGAGGGAAGAATTCAGGGCAGGCCGCGCGCAGATGACCTCGAACAGCACGACGCCGAAGGAGTAGACGTCGGATTTCTCCGTCAGCTGCTGCCGCCGGTAGTATTCGGGGTCGAGGTAGCCGAAGCTCCCCTTCACCACCGTGCTGACGTGAGTGTTGTCGACGGTCGGGCCGGTTTTCGACAGCCCGAAATCGGAGACCTTGGCCACCCATTTCTCGTCCAGGAGAATGTTGGTCGTCTTGACGTCGCGGTGAATGATGGTGTGCTTGGCTCCGGTGTGGAGGTAGTGCAGTCCTCTCGCAGCGCCGATGCAGATCTCGAGCCGCTGCTTCCATGGCAATGGTGGCTTCTGAGTTTTGTAGAGATGCTCGCGGAGGGTTCCGTGAGCCATGTAGTCGTATACGAGGATCATCTCCCTGTTCTCCTCGCAGTATCCGATCAGGGAGACGAGGTGGCGGTGGCGGAGCTTGGAGAGCATCTCGATCTCGGTTTGGAATTCATGAACGCCTTGCTCCGACATTGGATTTCCTCGCTTGATCGCCACCTTCGTGCCGTCATCAAACTCGCCGCGATATACCTTCCCGAATCCACCAACTCCGAGCAGACGGGTTTCGTCGAACTTATTGGTGGCAGATTCGATCTCGGCGAAGGAGAAATGGCGGCAGAGGTTCGACGGTAACGACGAGGCGTAGCTCCCCGTCGTGTTCGTCTTCGCCGAAGCAGCAGAATTCGAGTTTTCATACAGTGAAAGAGGGAGCCAACCAGAAGGTCCATCACTTGTGCCAGCATCCTTCGCTTTCTTCCCCTTCTTCTTTCTTTTATAAATAACAAGCAACAGGATTGCAAGGGCGATAATGGCGGCGACGCCAACTACCCCACCGACAATCATCGGAGTTTTTTTAGAATTGGAGTTCTGATTCTTTAAAATCTTCCCGGGTTCATAATCTGTCTGTGGTAAAAAGTCAGGGTTTGGCCCGGCGAGATTGTTATCACTGTTCTGCAACTTAAAAACCTCCATTCCATTCAATATCGCATCGGAGTATTCGGCCTTGGTTCGGAGATCAGGATGGAGAGCTACCCATAAATCCATTATCCCTGATCCTGAGGTAGGGACGACATAATCCCTATACACAGGGTTACCAATCCCACCGCTCCATGCAATCACATCTGCTTGTTCCTGCGCTGTCTGATTGGATAGATAGATATCAAAAACTCTCTGATTAATCTTGGTGATGGGGTACTGTATCTCGCAGAAATGAAGCCTGACGAGGTAGAAGAACCCGGCATCAACGCTCAGAATCCATGTCAGATTGTAGTTCTTGCTCACGGTGGGATCAGGACCCATCGATCTCGCCGTCGAATAAACATCCGTCGGAGCTATATACTCCGGCAAACTGGTCGAGTACTGAATAGTCACATTTGGATCGGCGGAGTAGGTTACTCCATACGCAGCTCCATAGATGTATAATGAATCATCTGCCCAAGATCTATACAAACCAGAATCTCCAGCTGGGGATATCGCCTGCCCGCCCACATTTAGCCGATAAACAGTTTCCATTGCCCAATCGTCTGGAATCGGGTACTGAAGTGGTGTTCCGCCTGTAACCAGCAGAGGAGTAGTTGCAGAAAATAAATCCGGCATGGAAGCAATCTCTATACCGTTGATGAAAGCATAGGAGTTGGAGTAGTTCTTCGATGGCGTGAAGGTGAGGTTGAGACCAGTAGAAGACACATTGACTGAAAACTCCCGAATCAGGTAAGCGTAGTTGAGCGCTGCGACGGTTTGATAAGCGGAGAAATTGTGGAGGAGAGTGATGGGTCCGGCGGTGACGGAGAAGATGCCATCTGCGGCCGCGTGGTTGGAGTAGTTAGATGGGTAGAAGTAGAGCCGAACGTACTTACGGCCGGCGCCGAGGGGGAAGGAGTAGGTGAGAGGCGATGTGAAGACACGAGCCGTGAGGTATGGATACTGAGGAACGGATGAGTCCTGGTTCGACGCCTGAGAGCCGGCGCTGTTCAGCCACAGCGGAGCGTATTTGGATCCGGTGTCGCCGTCCCAAGTCCGGCCATCTTGATCTTTGCTCTGGCCGGACGCTCCGCAGTCGAGGAGAATGTAGTCGCGGGGGCTGAAGGTGGAGTTATCTCCGGCGGCGATCGCGGCGAAGTACAGAATCAGGAAGGGAAGCGACTTCATCGAGATCAAATCCGAAACCCAGGGTTTCAAGTGCAGATAACACTGGATCAGCTCATGGTGCTCAGGAACACTCCCGATCTAGAGAGATCATCGGACGCTTTTGTTCAGAAACTGAACGGCTGCGAGATTGAAGCGGATCTGAGGGAAGATATCAAGAAAATTAGATCAATCGATAGGTAGTGAAAGGATTTAGCTCGAGAAATCGAGAGAGCGAAGAAAAACGAAGACTACTTGGAAATCTGCGGGAGAATCGGAGGAGAGGAGGAGAGAGTGTGTGGAGTCTTTGAGCGGTGGGGTTTAGAGAGAGAAACAGTGGCGGTGAACGCGGGATGTCTGCGAGAGTGCGAGGGACGCGGTGGACTGGCTGGTAGCTGTGCCTTGCCGTCAAGGGTAATGGGTTTCGTTGGGGAAGGTGGGCTGCGGGGCCCACTGCCTGTGGCAGCGATTCTCAGCCGTCCGATGCTGGGATGGACGATAGCCATCGGATGAGCCCTTTTTTAATTTCATTTGCCTGTGAAATTTGAGTTGAATTTCAACGTATTTTGGTTAGATTTTATTTATGTCACAAACCACCCAAATGGTATCTATAAGCATGTATCCAAAATTTTAAATATTTCTTTTTCAGGGGATTATTTAAATATCTAATTTTTAAGAAAGTATTTTAAATATGAGAATATTACCTACATAATTCATGTATGCATGCAGACTTCATATACAACATTATCATATATTGTTGTACGTGTGTTCAACACGTTCGTAATATGCATGCATTTGAACTCTACACGTAGGGTCGTTAACGGCTCGTCGTTCACGAATAGCTCGTGTTCGCTCGTTAAAAAGCTCGTGTTTGATTCATTCTCTAAGTTAACAAGCCGACCAGAAATACTTATTTGTGCTCGATATATTAACAAGACGAACACGAACAAAGATCTGTTCATTATTGTTCGGCTTGTATTGGCTCGAAATACTGCTCACCAATCATATGTCTTGAGTATTACTTTAAAAATTTTAAATGACCACAAGGTTGCAAAGATTTATAATCAATTAAAATTATTAAATAAAAAAATAAAATAAAAATATATTAAATTTTATTTAGATAATGTTTTAATATAAACAATAAGATTTAAATCTTGTCTCAACCCTTAAAATCTTATGGTGATATGATTAGAGTTGTCAGAACGACTCTGTCTGCGAACAACTCGTGTTCAACTCGCTAAGCAAACGAGTCGAACACGAACACACTTTTTTGTGTTCAAATTATGAATGAGCTGAACACCAACAGTGATATTTTTTAAAGAGCCGAACATGAGTGAGCCTCGTTTACACCCCAATCTACACGTAATAACTTGTCATAAAATATACTAAACTTTTTAAAACAATTAATATTTACAGGCATGCCACTCAATCCCTATGAAATTATATATCTAACACATAAAATTTCAATTTTTACCCATATACCACCATATCTATCAAACAAACACAATAAGAGATTCATTCTATACCTAAAGTCATTAGAAAGTAAAAACAAACTAAGAAAAAACATAATCCCCATTGAGAGAAATTCAAACTCATTAGATTTGTTTTGAGATGGAAACAACATAGAAGTAATCAATCAAATTTTAAAAATCACACCTCAAAATAAATCTAATGAATTTGAAATCTAACCTCATTCAATCTATTTACAAGATGGCATCTAGCTCTGCAGAAGGCTCTGTTTCTGAAGGAAAGTACTGGGCCTCACATAGGAAAAATTCACAAACACGTCATCGCCGGCGACCGGACTGGCGACCGGAGAATCGAGCAAAGGCATGCTAGTCAACTTCTTATCGAAATTCGCAATGCATAATTGGTCGGCGACATTCGGCCTGAAACTGGGTTGTATCTCCCTTGCCTCGAGTTTCTTCCAGTTTATGGATTTGAACCATTTATGATTCTTTATGTCATTGCTGCCACCAGGTCCATTCCCAAGCCTCTTGCTCGCTTCCTTTTGCAGCAGCTGAGAGTTCATGAATGCAGAGGGTTAGAAAGTGGGGCTGAGATTTTTTAGCATGAAGATCGTTCGCAGATTGAATAGCTTTTTTTTGGCTCGGATTGGGGAAAATATTGCGTCTGCCGTTCGGATGTATGGATGTTGGCATGGATCCCACCACATCATGCGTGCGGCTGTGTGGTGAGATCCATTTCGTCGGCTGCACGTCCAGTCGACTTCATTGGACGGAATATTTTCTCTTAATTACCGAGCGACGAGTCAAAACTTTTGGCTTGGTCTGAAATTCAACCTGACTTCAAGTTGGAATTTGAGTGGATCGAGCCGACTCAAGTAGGAAAAATATGTACATTTTTTAAATGTAATATATACATATGAGTATACGAGTATCTGACTATTTCAAATGCATGCAGGAGTGTGTAGTTTGAGTCTGAACCTAAATTGACCGAACCCAAATTGTTTTATTTGAATCCGACCATAATATTAACATAAGGCATAACAACTATTCAGGTCATCTTCAAGTCAAATACAATTCATTTTTGAGTCAATATGAGATCATTTTTCAGGTTAGTGTGGTCAATTTTGTGTCCATTTCTAAATTAGTGGGTCAGATTCGAGTCAATTTTGGGTTGATGAGTCAACCCGAAATCAGCCCCAAAAATTTAGATGGGTTAGAATTCCTAACCTAAATCCGGCCAGAAAAGAATTTGGGTCAAATCGTTGGATTAATTTTTGATACCCCTATGTGCATGTATGTGCGGGAACATGTGTAAATTTAGTCCCCAAACTCTTTTAAAAGTTAGCTAAAATAGAATTCCAAGCAGACTATTTTAGCTTTTATTAAAAGACTCCAAGTACTAGACTTTGGAAATGAAATACACACATGAAGGTAATCAAGAAATTATTTTGGCACTTTACTCATTCTTATATATTTACATATCTAACCCCAAAATTTTTATATTTACATGCTTATCACTCAAATTTTTTAAAGTCACATAAAAAAATATCATTATTACAAATTAAAACTGAAATATGCCATTTCATGCACATTTTTATAACAAAAAAAGTGTTATATAAATGCAAACATCAAATTTTAGGAGTTAGATATGTAAATACATAAAAAGTTGTGTGCTATGTATGTAAATTCCCCAATAAGAAAACGTACTCCTTTTAAGAGGGAATGGGCTTGAGCGGATAAATAAAAAGGGAGCTTCATCTTCTCCTTCACTATTCTCTGCTGAATTTTATCTCGATTTCCTCCAACAAATGGTGGCTGTTAATGAAATGAATAGATTCAGGGTTAACAGTAAACTAAATAGTATATTTGAAGGAGGGTGGGGGGGGCAGATGCAAAATCGTACGTTTCCTGTAAGCATTTCAAATAGCAGAATTCCAACGCTCCACCAATCAGCAGCCTTATCATGGCCTTTTCCGGTGATAATCTCCGGCGCCATGTATTCTACCGTCCCACACAGAGAGTTTGATCTATCATTGCCATTAAATTCCTTCGCAAGCCCAAAATCAGTGAGCAGCACCTGTAAACAAATATTACAAAAAAGATTTACATATATACCATGCCTGACACCAAACTTCAAAATTTACCACCTGACCTATGAATGAAAAGGAAAAAAATTGCGTACATATGAGGTACGCAGAGTTGCCTGCGTTTGTAACCTGCAAACAGGTTACAGGGAAGATTTCAGGAGGTTATAACCGTGTTATACTGTTATACCCCCTGTAACCTCATACCCCCTGTAACCTCCTTGTAACCTACATGTATATCAAAACAGAAGCGCGAAACTTACTAGAAGATATAGGTAGGTTACAGGGAGGTTACAGAGGGTATAACGCGGTTATAACCTCCTAAAATCCTCCCTATAACTTGTTTGCAGGTTACAGACGTAGCAACTCTGCGTACGTCTTATGTACGCAATTTTTTTCCGAATGGAAAAGGTGTGTTTCACTTCTTAAAAAGTTAAAATGATGGTTTTTTTAGAATGTGACATGAAAGATTAGGGTGGTATAAATGTAAAAAAGTAAATGCATAAGAATTGGGTGCTTTGAATGCAAATGCCCCAAATTAAAAATATATGAATATGTATTCAGCTGGAGATACAATGATATATATATATATATATCTTTTTAGACTAAGGGGGTAAACAAGTATTATCAACCTTGAGTATTGAACACAGTTAATTAATTGAGCTGAGCTTTATTTATTATGGGGAAAAGATGCATATATATAAATAGATGATTTTGAGTCAAGCTACTATTGATATAAAAAAGAAGAACTTTACATGCACACCACAAAATTCTTATGTATTAGCAAATCTAACACCCAAAGTTTGATATTTACACTTACAACATCTTGTTACCATAAACTTGTGCATGAGAAAATGTATTTCATTTTTAAAAAGATAATGGTGATTGTATTTTTTATGCGAATTTAAAGATTTGAGTAATCAACATGTAAATATGAATGTTTAGGTGTTAGATATGTAAAGGAGAAAATTGTCAAAATAGTCCCATTATTTTTTGCAGGGGATCATTTTAGTCCCAAAGCATGTAGAAAGATAATGGTTGTGATATTTTTTATGTGAAGTTAAGGATTTGAGAGATCTGCATGTTAAGTATGAATGTTTAGGCGTTAGATATGTACATGAGGAAAGTGTCAAAATAGTCCCATGATTCTTTGCAGGGGATCATTTTAGTCCCAGAGTATGTAAAAATATCAATTTAGTCCGCAAACTCTTCTAATATAGGCTAACATAGTCCACATGAAAGATTTTCTCAGCCTCGATCTAAAGAGTTCGTAGGCTAAATTGACACTTTTATAGATTCTAGGACTATAATAACTCCATGTAAATACATAAGAATCATGAGGTTTGTATGTAAATGCCCGTAATAATAATGATAAATCAGATAAAAAATAAAAAAGAATCAAAGTTGGTTCGAAAGCTGATTCAAGTTCGACTCATTATCATATCAAAAACAGTGTGAAGTTTTGACATAAAGGAAAGAAGGAACATACATGGCCATCAGCATCCATAAGGATGTTCTCAGGCTTAAGGTCTCTGTGCATTATCCCGTTTGCATGAAGGTGGGAGACAGCAGAAACTATCTCAGCCGCATATATTCTTGCCAAATCCTCTCTGTAATAATCGGAAATGGGTAGATTTGTAACGAGTTGATTATTTTGATGGATTTTAATCAGAACAAAAGGGAAGGAGACAAAACCTGAATAAACCCTCATGATATAGCTGAAAGAATAGGTGCCCCCCATTAACAAAATCCAGCACCAGATACAATCGGTATTTTGTCTGAAAATCGCATAAGAAATGTTATAAGACTAATAAATAATTTTCAAATTGTGGTATTCATGCATTTTGACAGTTGTTTAAACCAAGGAAATTAAGCCTAAATTATTAAACAAGGGGCAATTACATACATAGCACACAATTCTCATGTTTTTACATATCTCACGCCTAAACTTTACACATTTAGCACTCAAATATTTAATATCAGACCAAGAATAGAATTATTACAAATTTTTAAAACTGAAATACACATTTTGCATGCATATGTTTGAATCACTAAAGCATTATATATGTAAATGCATAAGAATTTGTGTGCAACAAACATAAATTTCCCTTTAAACAAATGTATTAACACCATAACAAAAAGCAGCACTTCAAACAAACATGTATAAGCATGAATATAGCTTGGATTACTCCAGCTACAGCGTATCAAATATTAAAACAATATTGAACTGAGGGGTTAAGGAACCATACCTGAAAGGAATATCTGAGCCGAACAATAAATGGATGGTCAATTTTTGTCAATATATCCCTCTCGGCTTTCATGTACGCAGCATGATTCTTTTCAATTATCTTATCCTTTCTCATAACCTTCATTGCAAATATTTCCGAAGTGTCCCTTTTCCTCACCTGAAAAACTTTACCAAAAGCCCCCCGTCCGACTAGTTTCAAAACTTCAAAATCCTCAAGTCCCACTCCTGAAACCTCCTTTGTTTGGTTATCTTTCTCTGCAGCATCATTACTGCGTGTCTTCTCTTGTTGAACTTCAGTCTTAACTGTGGAGCACGCTCCAAGATCCCTTAAACTGTTCGTTTCAAGCGAAGTGTGCTGCAGCAGCTGTGTAATTTGAGAAGGCCCGACAAGAGCATGAGACCGATTTCTAAGGACTAACGGAGAATCATAATTTTTTCCATCAGAAGCTCTCCTTGGAACAAAATTATTGGAGGCCAGCCCGTTGATTTCGACTGATGGTTCGACTGGTATGGGACCAAAAACAACAGAAAAGTCAATTTCGTGGTCGTTTGGAATGGAATCGGATGGGCCCATTGGTAAAAGTACTTTCATGTTGCGGAACTTCTGATTACAAGTTCTGGTCAAACCAGATATACCAGAGGAAACCATCTCCAGAAATGATGGAAGAATCAAAAGAAAGGCAACCAGTAACTGATCCAGCTAAGGCAATGCCTTCAACGAATTCCTGAGACAGCTGATGAAGCTGGGCTCCTCACAATGGCCTTTAACAAGAGGTAGTTTACAAAAACAACATAAACTCCCAGAAACCCTGGAAGCAGACAAACCAAAACTCCAGAGCTGTACTTGTTTCCCGATACACAGGAAACAGATGATGCCACAGTGCTTCTGGAATTCATGAATATCACGTTGTCTCGGGCTGTTTTTAAGAAAACATCATAAAGGAAAAGTCAGTAGCACTCAAAGAAAAAAGATATTGTACTTCAAATTGTTTGAGTGTTCTATTAAGGGCATGAATCTTCTCCAGTTTCTCATATTGGAGTGTTTGATAGAAAATAAGAATGCTATCCTTTTTATAATTGTTAACTTTCATTCTTCTGACATATATTATAACCTTAAAATTGGCATTTCCCAGTTTGTCGGAATAGATGTTAGGAAGTCGCTTCAAGGAAAAATATTTCCCAGTTTTAATTTCATGTTTTAAATTATTATTTTTATTCTAATCAATAATAGTAGTGCTAGATTCAGCCTTTTAAGTGAAAGCACTACGTTAAACTTCTTTCATAGTATAAATTGGTGTATCGAAGGGAATTTATTTTTCGTTGTCCTATAATAATTTTAAATTTTTTTCGCTAGTTCTAGTCTTGATACTTGTGATAGAATTTGGATAATTTGGTTTTTCTATTCTTCAATTAGAAAAAATAATCGTGACATTTCTATTATATTATTATAATAATTTGTATGATCAAATGTACTGCAGCAAGAATTATCAGTCGGATTTACTAGGATTCACCAGTATTCTATAATGTTGGATAGAGATGTGAGGTTTTTTCTCATTTTTTAAGAACATTATGGAAGATATTTAGTAGAAAATTATAATCTTTATACTCCTTACAACCATTAGATTGATGGTTAATGGCTAGATTGAATTTATTGATATGACAATAGAAAGTTTGTTGAGATGCTTCTTACACAAACTTTTAGTTGAGATGCTTAATACCATTAGATTGATGGTTAATGGCTAGATTGAATTTATTGATATGACAATTGAAAGTTTGTTGAGATGCTTAATACACAAACTTTTAGTTTCCTTTTTTAGTTTGCTTATAATGATATCATCATTCAAGATAGTTTATGAAAAAAATACAAAAAGACACATTGATATAATTAACATTCACAATCATGCATTTTTATTCTACTTTTTACATTCATAAAATATTTTGAAACACTTCATACTGAAGTCAAAGAAAAAATAACTAAAAATAGTACAAAATATACAGAAAACCTAGTTTATTGGAGATTAAATTCTCTCGTATTCTTTAACATAAAATCAAAGCTCACAGTTTGCATGGGGAGAAGTAATCAAATGCATAGCCTTGGTTGGTTAATAAAGGATGCCATATTAGAAAAGAGACTAAAACATATAATTTGATCATTCAAGCTCTACTATTGCCACCCCTTTCTAATTGGCTTCCTTCAACGTACGACAACTGGCCTCCTAGTCAGTGGCAAGCTATGTAAGAATAAGTAAATATCATATGACAAACAACTACCTGAGATTAATTAGTTGATTTATATATATGAAAAATCGTTATAAACTGCAAATGAATCTGTAAAATTAAGACTCAACAACCAACATATTGACAAAGGTTTTAAATAGAATAATGATATTGACATTAATGAAACTTCCACTTTTGTTTTTCATCTTACATCTCTTCATTTATGTCATAGTTATTAATGCTTTATTTCACTGAACTTTTTTTTTTAAACTGAATGTAAGAACAATATCCTCCACGATGGTATTAGACACAAGAAAGCTACTCTTCTAGTTCTATTGATCTCGTTTTTATTTTATTCGTCAAACATTTAGGAGAATTGTATTAAAATTACTTCATATCGCTGACAGTATTATTAATGATATTGGAGTGATGATATCTTTGTGCTCAAAGCTTCTCCAACATAGCTTTAAAATTAATGATTTAAGTTGGTCACATTATTTTCTTAGTCTTTACATTTCTTCAAATAAAAATTACCTCTTATCTTCATACTTATACAAACATCATTAATTTCAAGGAAACCTCTACTCCCATATACCTAAACAATCATCTGAAGTCTAACGATGGGATGCTTGCCTTGATAATTAAATGGAGGAATGACACATCCTACTTTTACTTGCTTGATATACCTACGCAGAATATTATGCTAAATAATTTATTTCCACTCAGACTAACTTATGTTATTATTCTTCAATTTATTTATTATGTATGAAATACTTGCATTACTGTCCTCGTTATTTTTGCCAAACTTCCAGACCATTATTGAATCCTAATTTTATGTTGATTGGGTCAGTGATCCTAATAACCAAAAACCAATCAGTGGGTTCAATATACTTTCATCCTCACAATTCATTTCGAGTAAATGACTGATATAAGAAGTATGAGTAAGAAAAACAAAACTTCTATTCTTTCGAGAAAAGTATAAAATTTTTTCCCCTCCCTCCGTCCCTCCCTCCCTCCTATGGGTGGGAAGAGAGGTTTTCAGAAAATTGGATGGGGTTATTCAAAGCCATCCAAATTAAATTGAATGGCTGGGATTGATCATTATTATGAGAAGCAGTGAGAATCTTAATGAGTTTTACTCTACATCTTGTATAACATCTGTGGGGTTTTTAAATCTGTTGAATCTTTCTTTATTATTTATATTTTCAAAGAAATGTTACAACCATTAAAACTTGCTTTATTTTTGTTTTGTTTCTTTATTTCCTTTTATTGATGATAAAAATATAGTGAATGTTCATTTATTTTCTTTTTCTTTAATAATTATGTTTGGAAATGAAATTGGAAACAGCTAACTTATTACCAAAACAAAAGTAAAAGAACTAAGTCAAATATTTAATCACAATAATTCTCTTTTTCATGATGTCAATCTCAATGAACCTCTGTTCATTTTTCTATTAATTTATGAAAGCACAGAATTTCAAATACAAAAATTCATTATTATAAGAATTTGGAGACATGTGAATATTAAATATACATTTATAGCAAATAATTGGGGCTTTTTTAATCAAAGAATTTAAGAAAAAACTAGACTTGTCCCTGATTTTGAAGAACATATAAATCAAATGTAAAGGAATATGAAAAATGTGGCCTATCAATAGAAGAAATATTTCATAACTAAAACCTATTCATGGTGACTACAAGGGAAATGCGTTCAAAGAGCAGCATTTTAATGATTTTTAACTTGCATTTCAAGTAAAACTTATCAAATGAAAATTTTGAAATTTGCATTTCACAACTTTGTACACCTATCCATACCCAAATCATTATTTACTTCATTTCAAGTAAACCCAAGTAAATTAAATCCATAAACAGAAAATACCTCGAATCAGAGCTTTGCACATGCAGCAATTTCCCAAATGCAGGTGCCGAGAAGGTCTGATTGGTAGCAGTATTTAACCCAAATCCTGCCAAACTACAAAAATAAAAATTTTACTTCCTACCCTTACAGCCTAAAAGGTTCTTAAATCCCATTTTCCCCCTTGAATCCAGGATTCATTAAATCCTGTTTCAAACTGGACACACATATTTACAGGATTCAGTAAATCCTACGCCGCAGAGCGCTCGAATGCGGGGGGAATAAGGAGCGAAAACACAAGGGTTACCGGTTACCTTCCTCAATGGTCTCTTGTAGAAGAAGATCGGAAGGAGGAACAAAGGCCGCAGTGCTCCCGCAATTCTCCTTCGCTTGTTTCGCCTTCCTCCTCTCTCACGTCCACCCTCCAAATCGACAGCCCTAATTTTCAATTTATTTAATAAAAACAGTTGAAACGGTTATGATTTCCCCGAATTCATGGCCGGGTCAGCAGTAGACCGGGCGACCGCCCTTACAGCCCGGGTTCGTCTCCGGTTTCTTCTCTCTCCGGTTTAACCGTAGAAAAAACCGGTCCGGCATCCGGTCTGATTTTTCCTTGATGCTTTGATGGGCTGGCCCGCACCCAACAGTGTTATTTCAAGTGATTCAAATTAGAGAAAATATTATTTATTAATTGATTGGTAAATGATATATATTTGGCAAATTTTGCATACAAACCACACAATTTATTTGTATTTACATATTTAACTGATCATTTGACACTAAATGTAAAATAACAGTGTTGAAAAAAGTTTAATAAATTTGAGATTTTATAAATTTAATATATTGTAAGTATATTTTAAATTAATTATTTTTTAAATGAGTTGGCTCAAGAGCGAACAAGTCGAGTCGGGTCGAACTTGAGTCAAGTTTCTTTAATTCATGGAGCTCATTTGACAAGTCATTTATCGAGCCGAGCTTGAGCCGGCTTGCAAGTCGAATTGACTCACTTAGATCTCTATTCAAGGTATGCCTGTGTAATGTATTTAGGCTACTGCATTGCTTCATAGGTGATTCGTTACTCTGCAATGTACGTTGTCATTTCACATAGTATTTTGTTATTCCATAATGTACCTCATTACTCCGGAAAGTACTTTGTTGCACTATACGTCATTACTTGACAAGATGCGCCTGTGATAACAAGTAAGAAGCAGTCGTCTATGGTGGACGGTGGCCACCGGCGATGGTCGGTGGCCACCGGCGATGGTCGGTAGTGGTCGACAGCTACGAAGGCATGAAGTGATCACAAGGTATTCAGTCTATAACGGCTCTAGAAATTGACTCATCGTCCTCAACCAGGTCTACATCTCGGTCCAGCTTTAACTCTCATTTTATGAAGAGAGTGGGGATCTTCTTATATATTTTGGGAGTGGCGTCCTCTATAAATATTATATGAATCTAAACAACTCAATCACATAACTCAGAGTTATTCTCCTAATATGATGATATTATATGAACATTTGAGTGCTTTGATGACATTTAAATCGAATGATTTTCGGCTCATTAGATTCATCTCATCAAACCAATCGATTTTATTATAAGCTTCTCAAATTTAGAGTTAAGTGGATATTCCAATCAACCACTAAAAGCATATAAAATGGTTTAACGGCTTGATATGTGATAGATTTCACTCGAATTGGATCAATTTTGATGTGATTGGGTTTGTCTCATCAAACATGTCAGTTTGATTAATATGATTTTTAATTTTAAAGAGAGTATTTCTAGCTCCAAAAAAGCCTCGAGATTTATGTCGAATGAAAGATTTCTTTACGACTCGTCATTTATATTTATAATTATATGTCCAAACATATCTGCACGGATCTTGACGAATCCGACGGTAAATGGAATCAGCAGGCAAAATATTAGCGAGAGCTGAGCAGTTACACATGAGGATCAACTAAACTAATTAAACGATCGAGCACTGCGACATAAGTTACAACTAACAGACAATCACTTGCAGAAATATGGAGAGCACAAAAGAATAATAGGAGTTTCACTAGCCAGTTGTTATTAAATAATTATAAAAGAAGAAGGTCATAATTGTATGAACCACTATTGCTCCGACCACCTTTTCAAACATAAGATTTACATGTATACCACTCAATCTTTATATATATCCTCACGTGTCAAGTCGGCTGTCTCTCCCCTCCGGTCAGCAACCCAATCAACCAGCCATCTCAGACAACCGGCCGACAATCTCATCGATTGGTTGTTCCATTCCTTTATGTCATTTCACTTCTCCCAACAATTTCATTTCTTCAGCCGAACAACCATTTATTAGCAGGTCACCGACTGATGAGGCCTAGCACGTTACACTCCTATGACCGAAAAAACAAAATAGTTTTGCATTGTCTCCTTTTGAAGTAGATGTAATAGTATAAATTTATCTTTTGTTCTTTTATCATATATAGATAGGAGAATTCTTTTATTTATCCAGTGGAAGGCTGATTTTCTTGGGGCTTTTTTCTCTTCACCTCTCTCATGTATTGAGAACCTTCTCCCATTCTCAATGTAACTACCTTTTTCAGTAAATAAAATTGGTCTGATGCGGAAGCTAAATTTAGGATGTGTTACTATAGCTGCTATAGTATTGCGAATGTATTACCATAACTACTACAATAACCACATTTTCCTCTTGCCTATTTTGATTTACTAACTTATCTAACAACTTCCACATTTATCTAATTTTCAAATTCAAACCATTCCCATCTCCCCTTCTTTATTTATTGCATATTCTACTTACCTAATCTACATGCAAACCACCTATTATTTATACATATTCTTTGTTAAGGTTATGAAAGTTTTTTATGAGTGCAGATTTCTGAGTGGTGCCTTTGCGGCGTTCTTCCCCTCCAGGAGCTGTACCCGATGAAAAGAAAATGCTTTGGTTGTAACTCCTTTGAGATGGTGACAGTCTCTAAGAGTTCGAGCGGTGCTCCGACTGTAGCCTGACTCTAAGAGACATTTATTCCTCTGCAGCCCCTCCGGCCCTCTTCCAACAACTGCAAATCGCCCTCTGGTCTTCTTGCTAATACACTCCAGGCCCTCCCTCCTCATTCCAGCAACAGTCCTATTAAGATGACTCTCAATTATGTAAACTAAGACGATACCGCAATTTATAAGAAGGTTTTCTATAGCTAATGTGTACAATAGTCATTTGTCTATGACAAGTATTTACCGGTCATCTTGTATGAATCATTGTGTGTGTGTGTGTGTGTGTGTGTGTGTGTGTGTGTGTGTGTGTGTGTGTGTGTGTGTGTGTGTGTGTGTGTGTGTGTGTGTGTGTGTGTGTGTGTGTGTGTGTGTGTGTGTGTGTGTGTGTGTGTGTCTATAGATCATATATAATGATGTATATGAGTTGAGAAGCCTGAGGGGTGAGAAAAATGCTGAGAGAAATGTGAGGAACCAAAACTTGTATAGAGATCAAGATCGATAGAGAGTTAGAGATTGGTTCGTCCTTGAAATTGTGTGGTGTAATCTTCAAAGTTGTCTTAGTGAATTTCTTCTTGATTCCCTCCCATGGATGTAGGTTTTATGGACCGAACCAGGTAAGTTTTTGGTGTTCTTGTTTGCATTTTCTTTGAGTTTTTGTTTTTCTGTTTTGTTGTTCTACGGTTCTCTTGGCAGCAAATTCTGCTACAAGTTTTGTTGCCCTCAGCCCCACTAACACTTTCCATGCTATGGTTCAATGTCTACAAGTCGCAATCCTATTGCAGCTAGCCTCGCCCCCACCTTCCTCGTTGTTATTTGGCGCTTTTTTGCAGTTGTCCTTGCACCCTCCACCAGTCCACCAAGACCCTCCCAGACCAGCCTCTACCTCCAATAACCCCTCCCCAGTCTCTCCTTGTTGTTGTCGTCCAATCACCGGTGCCTGTTACAATTGTTTTCCAACCCCTGACGTCAGTCTTTACCGCTGTCCATACCCTGCTACTGGTCTGCTATTGCCCCAAGCCACCGGCCCACCACAGCTCCCTCCTGCCACGCTCCATCCGTCGCCAGTTCTTTTCTGACCCCGTTTCCTAAATGATCGTTTATGTATTTATTGCCTTATTGGTGTTGCTTTCTATCTTATATTTTCGTAGCACCGTCTTGTCCTTTTCGTTGGTATGTTTATTATCGTTTATTTCAAGTTAGCAGGAGTCTCATTTGTAACATTTGAATTCAGTAAAAATAATTATATTTTTTCATGATGGTTTGGGTTTCTTCCAGTATCAGTCACAAGAGCCCAAGAACAACCCATTTTGCTCCTATGAGGCAAGTTTTGTTGCTCTCTCTCTCTCTCATTTCTCTCTCGTTCTCTCCCTCCATCAAATATGCACTTTTTTCTTGGGTGTGATCTTCGATCCTGGAATAATAATTTAGCTTCATGAATCAATGCAATATCTTTTGAGGTGACATTATAGACATAAGGTTATTTGTGTAATTATAACGGGGTAGATGTGAAATATAAAAATTATGCAGCATTTATGTAAATGTCCCTTATACATGTTATAAAGATGATGATGACATTTTATCATTCTACAAACAAACAATCATTTTTAAAAATTCAAAATTCATTCTTTTCTCGCTAAAAATAAAATTGTGCAAATCATCAAAACTCCGCTTAAATCTTTAAAAAATGACCCAAAAAAGACCTTTTTTTTCAAAATTTTTAACGTATCGCTCGCCGGCATCCTGTAGACTCCGTCGCTACCGCTGGGGATGGGGGGGCCACATTGCCGGCGGGCCGCCAAATGCCGGACGTCGGCGGAGAATCCGAATTCCATGGCCTTCTCTCAGCTGACCCTTTCGTGCTCGCCCCTTCAACGGGGATTCTTATAATGAGAAAGAAACAGAGAGAGAGAGAGAGAAGTTCCTCTTTTTTTTTTTTTATTTAATCGCACGCTCGGCTCGCTTTTTCAGTCTCGTTCTTTCGATCTTTCGATCTGATTTCGGCGGAGAATCGGTTCCGATCAATCGGCATTAGGAACTCTGGTATGCATTTTGTTTCAGTTCTTGCTTTTGATTCCTTTTGGGGGGGAATATTGGGGAATTGAATCTTTCATTAGGGTTGTAGTTTAATGATTGTTCTTATTAAAGATATGATTTTGATGGGATCAGTGTTGGCTGAGGAGAAGCCCTATTTTGATAACAATTGTGCAATAGTGCTCATTGGACCCAAAATATATGGTTAAATCCTTGTAAACTCTCTCAATTATTCGAAAGATTTAGGATTCATTAACTTTATGAGAAGTAGATGCATGTGAGGAGTGGTCTAAACTTTTAAGGTGGTGTTTGGCCGCAACCTGAATTTAAGTTAAGTAGAATTTATCAAAATCTGTAAATCCGACTCTGTGAGACAAAGATGAGCTTGCGAGGGACGGAGGAAGAAATTCTTAGATCTGCCTCACAATCAGTTTTACTAAATCCGGATGACAGAAAGCGAAAAGATTCGATTTACCAGAGAATTGGATTTAATTTTTTTAAAATTTTTTTAATGTTTGGCTGGATTTACATTAAATTCAAAGCTAAATCTCATTCAAATTATGCTACCAAACACTGCCAGGAATCTTACTTCTCAAAGGATTTACTAGTCAATATTTTAGCTTAAAAAGAGGGAAAAAAGCAGGATCTAAGAAGGCGATATGGCTAAATAAACTATTTGAATGCTAAATCTTGCACCAAGATTCCCCTATTCATATTTCTTATTGAAGGTTTTTTGAACTGATTTTTCAAGGTTCAATCTTAATATACTGCTTGACATATATTTTTAAGATTTAAGGTTTAAATTTATGAGAAGAAGATGCACCGTAAAGAGAAGTGGTCTAAATAATTCAAACCTTCTCAAAGGAATTGCTAAATCAATCTTAGTTTGTGTACTGACGGAAGATTAAAAGAGAGATTCAGAATATGAAATGTAGGATTTAATTGGAGCTTACCAGTGGGGGTGGTAGCAAGCCTTGTCCAACATGTGTGATAGGAAGAGATTGATCATTTTCTACGGTTATCTGCTGGTGACTGAACTGTGGTTGACCTTGATGAAGATATTGTTGATTTGCTGATACCAGCATTTGATTATGGAGTGGTCTGGTTTGGAGCAGATTTGGCGTATTACGGAGCTGTTTGACTTGGAATTGCGGTTGGAGGTATTAGGGGTGACCTAGTTGGATCTGCCTCTGGATTTGAAGGACCGAACGCGACCTTTGCCTTGTTGCGTGTAGAGGGCAGTTTGGCACTGATTGGAGTGCAATAATTCTTTCTGAAGTTTGGCGACTAAGTTGATTTCCTCGCTGCATAACAGTGAGTAGAGATCTTGAAGGCTTGATAAGTGGACGAGAGGTCATAAGGGTGTAGTGAATGACATTCTCTTTGTACAAGAACGAGCCGGTTGCAGCGATAGCATCGGCCTTGGCCTTATATGAAGACAAGTATTATGTTGTAGATTGATCTTTCATGGTAACATTGTGTTGGTTGTTCTTGAGCTTGATTATCCGGGATCGATTAATGGTTGAAGCCAATGCTCCAAAATAAGCCAAAGTTCCTTGCTAGAATCAAGATTCAAGACATACGATAACAATGACGAAGAGATCGTGGAATATAGAGCCGCGGCGAGGTTTTGATCCACAAGAAGCCATAAATAGTGATTGAGAACGGTTTGTGTGGTGCCGTCCGGTTGAAGGAGGTGGGAGGGTGGGCATGTAATCGATCCGTCAAGATATTCTTCAAACCAATTGCCTTTGAAGGGTTTGAGGAATTGAGCTCTCCATGTTAAATGGTTTTCGGTGGTAAGTTGAGCGATGATTGTTGTTTTGATGCCATTCATGATGAATTTGAGTTGGGGAGGAATCAAAATACCTCCATACATGATAGGACTTCCCGGCGAAAGATGACTAGAGGAATTTTTTGCAAGATGTCAATTGGGGGAACTTGTCTAAAAGTAAAACAAGCCGAGTGACCGCATATTTTAATACTAATTTTGTTCATCGATAGAAAAATAAAAGTTTTTGCCAATTAACACAATCAAACATAAGGAAGCCATCAATTGGGTGAACTTGTATAAAACTTTTGGTGCTTTTGTAAATTGTTATTCTTTTCTATTTTGTTGTTATTTTCATTTGGCACCTATTCCCAACATCTCATGCAAAGATGCAAACTTCCATAATTCCCCTTAATTGTTAAGTTGGCTTTTTTTTATTATGAGAAATAGTAGTTGCAACTAATATCTGCTCATATAGTGAATCTTAGTAAATCATGTCTTTTGGTACCTATATATATTTGAAACTCAGAATAAAAATCCAATTTTTCTCTCTCTCTTTTTTTGTTTATTTGCAGAATCAGTAGCTTTACTTCTAGGAAATTATGATATAGGTTTCCTTGCATTCCTCTCCAAGAAGTGGGGAGAATGGCAACTAGTAAATCTCAGTCTCTTTGGTGGAACAGCTATATCAGTTCAAGAAATTCAAAATGGTTGGCTGAAAAACTTCAAGGTAAAGAGTTACAAAGAATAATTATCTTACGGGCATTTACATGCATAGCACACAATTCGTTTGTATTTACATATATCTCATGCTTAAATTTTCATATTTACACACATAACAATCAAATCTTTAATATCACACCTTTTTCAAAGTGATATACCAATTTTCATGCATGGGTTTAAAGCAGCAAATTTATATTTATGTAAGTATGAAAGTTTATGTGTGAGACATGTAAATTCAAAAGAATTATGTGCTATGTATGTAAACTAAAGCGAATTTTCGCTATTTTACACTTGTCAATTTAAGTGTTTATTATGCCATCATGATTTTTAACCACATTGTGTGATTTTTGCTACAGAGACGGAGCGCTTGGTTAATGAAATGCTGAAACTGATTGAAGAAGATGGTGATTCATTTGCAAAAAAGGCTCAGATGTACTACCAAAGACGACCAGAATTAGTCGCCCGTGTTGGGGACTTCTACCACTTGTACCGCACTCTTGCAGAGCGTTATGATATTGTAATCAGTGAAATTTCAAAGAATATCCCTTCTGAATTCCAATCTCAAGGTTCAGTTAATGGTTCTGAATTTGGCTTAGAAGCTGCTTCACTCTCTGCTCCTTCCTCCCCTCACCTGTCATTGAAAAATAAGCCAAACCAACTTCAGCCAATTTGGAAAGCTTCCAGTTTTGAAGGCCTCAGAGAAAGATCTAATCTTTGTAAGATGGGTTCTGATGAATCATCATCAGAATCTAGTTCTGAATGTGATAATGGCAAGGTTATAGATAATTATGATAACTTTTCTAAGCTGGAAGAAAGGATATTTGAATTGGAACAAGAGCTTTGTGCCGCGAGAGCCAAGCTTCACAATTGTAAGAATGAGCACAAAGAAAAACTTGAAGATTTGGTGAACACTGAACATTTAGATTTGTCTTCCACCACTTCATCTGATAAAAACCTTATGGATTTGGTAAAGCAAATTCAAGTATTTCGAACCGACTTACGGGATCGTGAAGAAGAGATCGAAGATCTCAAGGGAGCAATGGAGGCTGCCGCCAATCGATTTGAGACTGAAATTTCATGCAGGGACAATAGTATTAAATTGTACAAGACATGGATAGATGCAGTTTTTTACAAGTTTGTTCGAGATAATTCATCTCCTTGCGCCGAGCTTAAAAATGTCATTTTTGAAGAAAAAGATGATGATGAACAAACATCAGATCATAAAATGTCTATGCTGGATGCCAAACTTTCCAGCCTTATGGCCTCAAACAGCTCCTATGAATCAAAGATTCAATTTTTTGAAGCAAGGGTGAAGCAATTAGAGGCTGAGAAGACTGAAATCAGCACAGAGAGTAAGGAACAGATAAATCAACTAAATCAAAGTATTCATGATTTTAAGATGAAAGTTGATATGTTAACATTGGAGAAAGATGAGCTCAGTGCTGAAGTGCTCAGGCTGGTTGAGGATATCGAAACTTGGGACGATGAGTCTCGTAAGATCGACGAACAACTCCGCGAATTGCAATTGGAGCATGACAAGCTGATCCAAGAAGGCGAGGATGCACGAAAAGCCTCGGCGGAACTAACAAATCAAGTTAGAGAGCTCGAAGAAGAGGTGGAAATGCAGAGAGGGGTGATTGTTGATTGTGCCGAGGGGAAGAAGGAGGCTATCAAACATCTGTGCTTCTCGCTAGAGCATTATCGTGAAGGCTACCAGCAGCTAAGGCAGCTCCTACAGCTTAAAATCAAAGGCCTCATTTAAAGAAGATGCAGCTCAAAAAACAAAATTTAATGACTTTGCTTGCTTGATCTTCCAATTCAAAACAGGTTTGTTGGTAATTTATACAAGGCATTTTACATTCAGAGCACACAATTCTAGTGCATTTACACATATGACACCGAAAATTTCATACTTATATGCATAGCGCTCAAATCTTTAATATTACATCAAAAATAACATTATTATTGCTTTTAAAAGTGAAATATACGTGTTTTCATGCATAGGTTTAAAGAGCCAAAGTGCCATGTATGTAAATATGAAAATGTCGGTGTGAGATATGTAAATTCATAAGAATTGTATGCTGTGTATGTAAATGTCTCCTATATTTACAAGGCATTGGTGCTATAAACTTGTGCATAAAAATGTGCATTCGACTTTTAAAAAGTTTTATTTTCGGTATAATTACATTTAGACTGCTTGAAACATTGATATTTACAAATTAATCACCCGAGTGATTTTTTTGAATAATTGAGAATTTGATAAAAATGAAAAATATGGATTACGGTTTTACCATAAATTTTGATTTTTTGAGTGAGAGTTTGAACAATGGATGAAAGAGGGTGATTGATTTATAAATAGCAAATTTCGGGTGATCTGCATGCAACTGCACCTGTGTTTTATGTGATGTTAAAGATTTGAGCGTTCCGACTGTAAGTATTAAAGTTTTGGTGCTAGATGTATTAACAAATAAGAATGTGATGTATGCATGTAAATACCTTTGTATTTACATATAAATAAATATATGTGTGATGAAAAAGATTTGATTTTTGAATCTGTACCTTGTACTTTTGCAGTTTTCTTCTTGAAAAGATAATAAATTACAAGTGTAAAGATTTATTTTTCATTGTAAATTAAAAATATTAAATTGCAAAATAAATTACACACTCAATTTGTACTCGACCGATTCATGGGATAAGTAATGTCGAGTGATAATTGAGTAATAATAGTTAAGCGATAATAATATGATGATGAGGATAATAGAGTTGTGATTAGATTATAATACTTTGATGATGATAAGTTGGGTGTAATTGTACTTGAAAAATGTGTTGAATAAGAGTGGTTAGACAATAATGATTGGATGATGACGATTGAATGATAGTGAAATGAACAATAGTGATCAGGTGATAATGGATGGACAATGACGATCACACAGAGCTTTTAAAGTTTTTCATATATCAAAGCTCTCTTTAAATTGGGCGATATTGGGTTTATTGAATTTCTCTCTTTGATACGTTTGATTTGATCGCATGCATCATCTTATTATTTTTAATACAAAATAATAATTCATAAAATATATAATTTAAATAATTTTTTTTTAAAAAAAATTGAGAGATTTAAATGCATGTTCTATAATATTTATGATATTTTAATATCATAATTATATGAAATACGAGCAATAATGTACATGAAGAGTGAATAATACAGTTGTGATATGTAAATAAATGAAAGTTGTGTGACATATATGCAAATTTCCCAAAATATCAATATTTTAGATGCTTTTGGTTATTGCCACTTAAATATCATCAACGACAGAAAGGCCCTTTCACTATTTTTAATTACCCATGAAGTCTAAGACTGAAAGTTGGGACCCCAATCTCTTAAGGTGTGAAAGAGCCGTGTTTGTGTGGGCTAATGCTTGACTCGTGTTCAACTCGTTTGAAAATGACTCATGTTTGAAGTTGACCCGTGTTCGAAATTGCTCGTGAACAGTGTTCATGTTCGACTCAACTTACATATTATTGTTCAAGTTGAACTCTAAAAAAATAGCTGTAGATTCTTGGATTCAAACCTGTATAAATTTTGTTCAATAAAAAACAAAATCAAATGATTATACATTTTGTTATATATATATATAAAACAGTCAAGCGGCAGTGCTCGGACAATCGAGGTATTGGGCTACAAGAACGTGATCCAAGTCGACTGTTCAACAACTGATAGCTCAGTCGGAGCCACCCAACACATTATTGAGACTGATTCAACCGAAGAGCCACACCTATAATCTTAGACCGCAACATATCGACCTACTGCAGGTACGATCGTCACTCGACCAATCGCCTCGGTCGACCAAATTCAAGCATATCGACCATCTAGTTGCCATCACATTTTAATTCAAATTGTAGTATAAATTTGGCAACAAATTCTCACGATTAAATTGCTTTAAGGACGATTTTCATAATTGTTTCATTTTTTCTGTAATTATACAAGTATTTCTCTATAAATAGGAGGCAAAAGCACGAATAAAATCAATCTCTCCACATTTCTTTGCGGGAGCTTCCTCAATTACTTTTCTCTCTCTCTCAACCTCATTTTCCTGACTCTAACTCTCAAGGCGTTTTTTCACAAAGGACAATTCATGATTCAACATCTTCAAACGGTGGCATGGTGAGCGTAGACATGCCCCAAACGAGAAGCACAACCAACTATGAGGGAGAATCTTTGCGAAGAGAAACAACGCCTATAGAGTTTACAGAGAGACAATGTGTAGTGACATACAGGAAGAGGTTTAGGCATTGCAAACACAAATAATGGACCAGTTTGAAGCTGTTCGAGCAGTCATAATTCTGTAGAGAGCTCAACCGCCGCCTATGGAGGGAAAGTCTCGGGGAACCCGCCTCCAGAAGGCTCCCCTTGACAATCCGTTGGAGCCCTATTGTTGGCCTGACGACTATTCAATCTAGGCATCAAAAGATTCCCAACCGGCAGACAGCGTCGCATTTATGTTGGCGGTCCCACATCCAATGGACTGAGGAGAAACATTTGCTCGACCAATTATGGGTAACGCCTTTTCCCAAAGGATCCTGGAAATAATACCTTCGACAAAGCTCATGATTTCCCACTACGACTCCTACAAAGAAAAGATTGACCAGACCAATCACCTTGCCCCTTTTGAGTCAACGGTCGAAATTCTGTAGATCTATGAGACCATTAAATGCCAACTATTTCTGACTACACTAAAAGAAGCCCCCCTCCTATGGTTTAATAACCTACCAAATGGAGTCTTCCCATAATTCTTCTAAATTCTGAAGCTCTTCCCAACACATTTTACTAGGCAAGGGGAGAGTGAAAGCTTGCTACTTTATATCACTCGCTTCCAAAAGAAAACACTGGAGTTAAAGAAATTTAAGTTTTTGATCTCTCGGGTTGCCTTGAAATAGGGGATTCACAATAAGTAATTCAGGTATGACCTGAACTTACTTAAGCCAAAGACCTTCGCAGAGGTGTTGGAATTAGCAAATGATCACATCATTGCCAAAGAAGACCTTGTGAAGTCCTCAGAAATTAAACCAAGAGTATCTGACCCCCATCCACATAAGCGGAAGGACTGTTATGACCATAGATGGCCAAAGAGTGACCAAGCCCTTGAACGACGATCGAACGAAATCCCAAGATCTCAGGTCAATCGGAAAGGCAGCCAAGGCAACCAAGTTCAGCAATGATGCCACTCCGACCAGCAACTGCCCCAATACATTGAGCGAACTCACATATACCAAGAGATGCAAGGTTCAACACCTATGAATGTGTCAATGGTTGAACTAGTCCAACTCATTCAAAATAATAATTACTTCAAGAAAACACCTTGTTGAAGATTGCATCAGCACTGCACAATCCGAACAAATATTGTGCCTATCATCATAACCACGGGCACGACATAGAGGACTGTCTTCACCTTAAAAATTTGGCAGAGGAGCTCATCCATGCTGAAAGATTGAAATATTTCATCGTCGTTGAAGCCCACATGCAACAACAGGGAGAGGCCATAATGAAGAGGCTTGCATATAGACATGTTCAAGCAAAATAAATTCACGTGGTTGGGATCATCCTGGCTATCTTCGGTGGAGGTGGAGGGTTATCTTGATTGTCTAGGAGACACAAGTTGGAAGATGTATGTTCCGTCAACTCTTACACTCGTGCCCACTGTTGTCATCCATTTTTTATGTGATATTTGCAGGGCAACCTTTTTAGTGCTACGGGACCGTATAGGGATTGTACGTGGCTTACCATAACTTATGGAGCCCGTGAGACCTTCAAACGGACACTACGAGCGCTAAGGCTAGGATACACTTCCATAACCTTTCCTTGAAGGGGGTCATCGCTAAGTCAGCACTACCCATAGTGTTCCCTGTATTGGCGTTCATCGCAACATCACGAGGATATATTAGGCTGGTACAAATGTTCTCGTGACATAGATCGTTGACGATCTCACTTCCTACATGTTTGTACCTTAAGCTCAAGGTCCGGACAGATGAATTTCACAATCAGAACTATTTTACTCTATAACAAGCACTTTAAACGCATCTACAACTTCCCCAGAGGCCCGATGATTATGTATTGCTCATATCCGGTCCTTTTGAAGTTCCCACAAGTCATGGAACTCCTTCGAAAACTTTTCCATAAGTCAAGTGTTTCTAGGGTATGGTGTGATCGTGTCTAATTAAGGTGTGGTCATGCCAGAACAGTAGTGTGACCATGCCTAAACTGGTCATTGCCACACCAAAACCTCCCCAAATAGCCTAAATGACCTACGATTGACATGTCCATGCCTGAAAGTGGTGTGACCATGCTGGCAAAACAGAGAGTTTGTCATAATTACGTCGAGTCTCGATTGTAGCCGCGCTCAGATCCAAAGAGGCGCTCAAGTCGCTCAGGCGGCGTTACCACTTCGACCAGATAGAGCGCTTAACATAATTACGTTGGGCCTTGGGCGTAGCCACACCAGGCTTTCATTCTAGCAAATATTATAACGGTGTGACCATGCTTGAATGTGGTGTGTCCACGCCGACAAAATCTTTGCTGCGATTTTTAACCTCTTGACCTTGGATTCCCATCGGCGAGCCTACCACGACTAGTGAACCACCCTCTTTTTGCGTGGTTTTTCTCCCTAAATGGCATATGAACCATTTTCAATCCATGTCAAATGGGGGAAAACGACTTAGAACCATTGAGCATCTTCATAGGGCAGGTTTAACCAAGGGAAGGGGCTTCGCATGTAGAGATCAACTATCATTGTTGTTGGAGAGGAGCTTTGGAGCAAGGGGGAGATTTAAGAGTTTCCAGGAAGATCTTCTTGATGATTTTCAAGTTATTCATCATGGAGAAGATAAGGAAAGCCCATTTCTCCCATTTTCATCAACTTTTCTTCCACTTCTTCGATCGACTTCCTCGTCTTCGATGATTTATGGCGAGCTAATTATGAAAGCTTCATCCAAGCATTAGAGAAGGAGAAATCCTACAATAACATCATCTTCTTTGGTGAGGAGAGCTTCCTTGTTACTTTGAAGAAGAAATCTGGTGGGCTTGTCATTCTCTCTGACAAGGAAAGCTTCTTCATACGAGAGAAACAATTCGATCAATCATTGCGTAGGTGAAATTTTTTAATCTCATGTGATTTTCATTTCTAAAGCCCCATAGGTTTGTATGTTAGAGGAATTGGGTTAGGATTTTTGTGTTCCTAGAGGAAGCCACATAGGATTAGGTGCTCTGCTTTCCCTTTCGTGAATCCAGAGCAAAACCTACCCCATTTTCATTCTAGCTCAAAATCTGAAAGTCGGGTTTCTACTAATACCGTTGTTTTCCTCGACGATTTCATCCAGATGGACATTTGAAATTCATCGATCGGAAATATGAAAGCATTCCCTCAATTGTTGTCTTTTCTCGCATCATGTTTAGGTCATGAATAATTCCCCTTGCGACGGATTCCCCATCCAGCATCATGCAAATGGAGGTAGGCGTCATGTTTCCTCAAGTAATATGGCATTGATATGCCTCTCCATCGTTTCACCCTTGGTTTCCCGTGAGTTTGCTAGGACAAGCATGATTCATCGTCGAATCTAATCGTGTTTCATCTCACACATGTTTGCATCTTCATGGTGTGCATGGCATGAATTTCAAATATGCATAAAAAATCATATGTTTCTACATGCTTCGTCGATCGACCGCCCACACAAGCTCGACCAACCATCTTTGATCAACTCGATTGATCGGTCGTCGCCGACCCGATTATACTGATTGACCATATTTCATCGATCGATCGCTCACTCTAGCCCTATTGACCATCTTCGTTCGACTTTATCACTTGGCTCCACTATGTATGGACCGATCGTCCGTCATTGATCGACCACACATTTTGGCTTGTTCAACTATCTTTGGTCGACATGATCAATCAGCGTCTCCACTAACCCCATTGCATCAACTGACCACCCTTTGTCGATTGGTTTCACACTCCATCCTGATTGACTATCCTCAAAACTTTTGATCGATTCACAGTGATCAGCCCGATCATGCCAACTGATTAATCCTCCGTTGATCGATCTCAGACACATGTCTGATCAACCACCTCTGGTCCAATCGATCTGTCGATCATTTGCATTTAGTATGTCACATCAGTCACGTGCTTTTCACATTGTTTGCATTAACACATCCACACTTGCACTCTCTCGTGTACTCATAAGTTGAGCCCTAATTTATTCACGACAGGAGCTTGTGCCTCCCATGGCACATTACCACACATTCGCTTCGTGGCAGCCCTATGTCACTTTGCACCACGTCAGATGTGGTATGCACTTGCATTTCCCACCTTCATGTATGACGGGAAAATTTTTTTTTCGTCAACACTATAATTCCTTTTGGAAGACATTCTATCTAAATGATTGACACGACATTCTGAAGAATAATATGTCCTCTAAAAGAAATATAACATTACCTTTGAAATGGGTTTAACCACCCAGAAGCTTTCTTTCAGTTTACGGGACCAGAGGAACCCAGAAGCTTTCTTTCGGTCTACGGGACTAGAGGTTTTCCTTTACTTTACTGATGTAAGATAAGATTTAATCTAATTTTATGAGCTTGTTTCCTACAAGGGCAAGCCCTCGTAGTTAATTACATCCTTAATTAGTGTAATAAGTCGAATTATGAAAGGATAAAGGATTTGAGCTGATCAAAACGGTAGAAGAACTTGATTATCTGATAAAAAAAAGTTTGATATTCAAAGAGTGGTATCTTAAAGGGTTTAAAATGATTAAGTTGATATTGTTTGAATTGACTCAATAGGGTTTAAAGGAAGGATCAAGGATATTTAGAGCTTGAAAAGATTGAAATTATGCTTTAATGGGTTCGATATGGTTTAAAAAGATGAATCAGTGACATTTAAAATGATTTACATGAGTTGATCATAACTCATATACTACAGAGAAAGGTAGGAAAGATTTCTAGATCTATAAAGAAGCATAACAGGTAGACTATCCAAGTTACTTGGAATGATTTACACGTACAAGATGATCATGGCTTTCCATCGTCTCGAAAAAATTAGCATTTGTCAACTATAACCAGCCTCATAACTAGGAATCCTTCTTAAATGCCGCAGCTCAAAGATTTATAGTCTCGAGGAGTTTTGAAATACATTCAGCAATAACGATGGGTCACATCCTTCTAAGATATTTCCTTTAGTCTCAAGGGGTAGGTTTAGATATTTTGTATGTCATATTCCTTAATCTTAGTGAAGTACTTAAATTGTCCTAGGCTTGGATTGACCCGAGTAGGTTAAGGTTTAATTTAGATTAATTCAGGTTGAATTAGGTTAACCCATGTAGATTAGGGTTTGATTTGGGTTGATCTAGATAGGTTAGGGTTTGATTTCGGCTGACGTAGGTTGACTTGAGTTGACCCGGGTAGGTTAGAGTTTGATTTGGGTTGACACGGGTTAAGCTGGGTTAACCTGGGTTGGCTTAGGTTTGGTTCGGGTTAAACTGAGTTGGCTTATGTTTGGTTCGGTTTAGGGGTTAGGTAGGTTGGGTTAGTTCCGGGTTGGGTCAGACATGGGTTAGGTTTAGGGTTCATGTTAGGTTTGGACAGGTATGGGTTGGGTCAGACTCAAATTAGGTTTAGGGTTTAGGTTAGGTTGGGCTTGACCTGAGCTGGTTTGGGTTTAGATCCGGGTTGGGTCAAACTTGGGTTAGGTTTGGGTTAAGATGGGTTAGAACTGAGCAAGTCGAGTCTAGGTTAGGTCGAACCTGGGTTAGGTTTGGATTTGGTGAGGCTAAACCTGAGCTAGGTCGGGTCTAGGTTGGGTCAAATCTTAGTTGGGTTGGACCTAGGTTAGGTTTGGGCTAAACCATTTTAAGGATTTGGATTAGGTCGGGTTTGGGTCGACCCGGAGTCAAACCCAAACCTAAGACTAATCCGGGTCGACCCAAACCCAAAACTAATCCAAGACTATTGAGTTAACCTTACATACTCTTAATCTTAAACACTTAAACGTAAACTTAACTTAAAATACTTAACTTCCAAGACTATTGAGTTAACATGACCTACTCCTAATCTTAAACACTTAAACTTAAACTTAAATTAAAATAATTAACTTAAATAAAGAAGGAAAACTTAGAGAGGAGACGGTTGATCAAAGGAGGAGAAGATTCACTGGATAAAACTAGATGAAGATACTATAAGTTAGAAGTGTTCATAATACTTTGAGGCACACTTTGACTTGATCCGTCGACAGAGGTTCATATCTCGACCGCTTTTCCTTATTATTTTTCTTCCTTGCAAAAAATTGAGACCCAATAGCCCTCTTTTGCTAGAATTTTAGGGTCCACAGTGATCCGACCTGAACTATTGGCCATGGTGCAGCTCAATTGTCTAGGAGAAAATGATGACAATTGACACCATGCCAAGGCCAGAACTATATTTATAGAGTGGGTTAAGCATAAAATCCAAAAGAGAAGTTAGTTACCAAATTAAATTTATTGATTTTAGTGTCACTGGTTATTAATATTTTCTCTGTCCTTATCGTAGTTATCACTGTCAAGGAGTAAGAAAACTCGGGAAACTGATATGCATGCACCGAAATCGTCGACACAAATCTCAAAGCAACTGAGAGGCTCAGGACAATGGTCGGATAGTCAATTCATCGGGCTGCAAGAACATGATCCAAGTATGTCATTCAATGACTCATAAGTCAGTTAGAGCCATCCAATATATTATGATGAGGTATTCATTCGACGGACCAAGCCTACAACCCCGCATTGCCTAAATTTTTCACAAGGGCACCCTCGACCACAATATATTCACCGACCGACCTTTTACTTCGGCATGCATGATCACCACTCAATTGGTCGCCTCGAACGACCAAATTCAAACGAGTCGACCAGCTGGTTACCGACACACTAGAATTCAAATTGTAATATATATTTGACAACAAATCCTCATGATTAAATTGCATTAAGTACGATTTCCATAGCCCTTCTCTATTTCGTGTAATTATACAAATACACTTATATAAATATGAGATCAAAAAATGAATAAATGAACCTTTCCCAATTTCTCTTTGGGGTCTTTCTCAATTATTTTACTCTCTCTCCTATCCTCCTTCGAGCTCTAACTCTTGATACATATTTTCACAAAGGACAATTCATGATTGGACAAAATAATTTTTTTATTTAATATAAAAAATAGCAGAACTTGATCTAATAAAAATGCATTCATATTGGACTAATTTATAATTAGAGCTTAAATCTATAAAATGACACTCACTGAATTGCGTCTGCGAATGCAATATTCTTTAATTTTTTTTTTAATTTACTTTACTCGTCGAATTTTGAGTTGCCGTCCAGTGAAAGGAGCGATTTTTCCTAGGGCAAAGCTAGGGTTTATGCACTAGCGTAAAGCCAGGTATAAAGGGTTTTACATTTTTCGCTAAATTCGTTTAATCGTTTCTTGCGAATTCTTTGATTTTCCCATGAACAGTGAGTTTTTTTTTTTTTTTTTTTTTTTTTTTTTTTTTAATGATTCTATCTGTTCTGAATTTGGTATAGTTGAAACCTTGTCTGAATTCTTTGAGGGATTATGTGTTCGCTCAGATTTTGTTCTGCTGAATTGGAGGCTTTCAAGCTGAATGTTTGAAGTTGTGGTTTCTTTCTAGATGCAATGGGTAGAAAGAAAAATCGGCCGATTCGTTCGGGTTCCATTGTATCAGAAATTGAGGACCCTCACAGTAATAGTCCTGCTGGACAGAATTTAGCTGCTGATGGTCTGTCTACGACGGGAGGAGAGAATGTTAATTCCAATAAACCATTATTCATTGATATTGAGCCATCTTCTTCTTCATTTGACGAGGATTTTGAAGTTGCAGAGGTATCACTTGACAATGTGACCTTTTTTGATGAAATGAGGAATAATTTACTGGTAGAAGATACTAGCGTTGAAGATAATTTTCGCCTTCGATTCAGTTTATTTGGTTTAGAAGATGGTTCTTTCAGACTAGGTAATTTTCCTCTGCTATCTGCTGATAATATCTTATTACAATATGTTTTGTTGGGAAAAACCAACTCAAATGGTTGCAGAGAAACCATTGTTCTGTTCTCCGGACGATTTGATGGTCCAGATGAGTGTGTTTCTGGTCTTGTTCACCTTGTGTCCCTTAGATTTTTTGGATTGAAGCTCGTGACAGAGGCAATGGAACTTCACAATAATTTATCTGTTAGGATCAGAGTAGAAATTCTAAAAAGTGCTTTTGATGCTTGTGGGAATCCTTTGGAAATTACGAGACATCCTTGGAGAAGAAGTATGATGAGCGTTATGTCTTGGTTGCACCCCGAAGTTACGACTTCTGAAGTCATATATGGAATAGATAAATCTGAAGTGAGAAATGATTATACATTCTGTGAATCTAAAAGCTCTGGTTTAAGGAATTGTTCGGAGTTTGATGCTGCTGTTTTTTATGAAGCCATTAAACCTTCTAAGTAAGCAACAATAACTACACCACCCATTTCTTATTTATTTACATATTAACACCTAAAGTTTGTTTTTTCTACATTTACAACACCCAAATCTTTCTTTTCATATAAAAAATACCATTATTTTATCTTTAAAAAGTGAAATACACCTTTTCATGCATAGGTAAGGTGACATATATGTAAAAATTGAAGTTTAGGTTTTAGATATACATAAGAATTGAATGGTATGTATGTAAATTTTCCACCTAGTATTTGTGCATTACCATCTATCCATTAATAGGTATTTTGTAGTTCTTTATATTTCACATTCTATGCAGCTTGGTTGGTAGATGTCTAATTTAGACAACGTGGTGTTACACTATTCTGCCTAATTGATAGATCGTCATATATTACATGAAAGAAATTTGACTATGTATACTGGAAAACTGGTTCTTGTTTTCAAGACTAAGGTGGTTCATGTAAATTGAGCTATTAATTCATCCAAGTTTTTGTTTTTATGAATCATTTTGGTTTATGGGGTTATAGATGAGATTTTTGTGGACTTGTCATAGTTGAAAAGACATTATTGCTACTTTATTGTTTTTTTTTGTCGCAATATTTGAAAATTTTGTAGACTTTTTTTAAGCATTGTTTATTTTTGCTGATTGCAGAGAGGAGGCAGGGATGGAAAATGATCTTCCTTATCTGCTTCCTTGCCTTAGGCCATATCAGCGAAGAGCCGTTTACTGGATGGTGAAAAGAGAAAAGGGAGCATCAAATGAGAAGTTTCAACAATTTTTATCAGCTCCATTTTCTATTCCTATTATATTCTTTGGAGGACAATCCAAAATATTCTATAATCCATTCAAGTAAGGTTTTTTATCAACTATTTTTTTTGCATGAAATTGCATATATGTAAAATATATCCTTTCAGATTCAAGACTCTTCTTTGTTGAGGCAAATGAAGGGTTTACTTTTATCCATTTGTCAGAATATACACCAACTGTGATGATATGATGTGAAAATTGTTTAAAAGTAGCTTTGATGGGTCAAATTGGCTTAAAGTTGTGTCTGATTAACATAAATTTTTCTTGATATGTGCTAGGGACACCATTATTGGAATTTGCATGTTAAATGTGCTATTCATTTTAGAAGTCTCACTTACTGATACCTAGTAAATTTGCAATAACGGTGTATCACTGATTTATTTATTAGATGATGTTGAAGTAGTTACTGTCAGTAATGTTTACCAACGCGTTAAACACAAGTGCAGAACCAGCTTATGTCCAGGATCAACAATTGTTCACTCTAAAATTTGAGAATTTATCTAGTGTAGAACCAGCTTATGTCCAGGATCAACAATTGTTCACTCTAAAATTTGAGAATTTTCTAGATAAGTAATAAAATGTAGTACTTTTTTTCATATATTTTTCAGGTAATTTAATAATTTTGCCCCTGGATATATTTTTTTGTTCAATATCTGAAAAAATTAACCTACCCTAAAATATAATGGTAGTTCTGCTCCTCCGTCGAACAATTAGGTGAACCTACTACTAATTTTTGCTTTGAAGATAGCTTGACCGCCGGCCAACTTTAACTAAATTGTGTTTGGCTAGTTTCTGCAACCAGTCAATTATTTGAGGTTAAGACTCAATCCTTCATGCTAACAGGCTTAAAAAAACATGAACAATTTAGTGAGGTTGTAGCAATTCTCTTTATGAGAAAATTTAATTTAGTTGTTCAGGATTAATTTTGCAGAGAATTCATTGTATCCGTTTACTCAAGCTTTCCATTTTTTAAAATCAAAATTAATACATTTTCGAGGAGGATGATCCATGGTTGTATAAATGGTATCTTTGGTATCAACGTTTATTAGCAAAGTTGATGTCATAATATTTGAGAATAAAGGAGACATGGAGGGTTCTGGAACACACTTTTTTGTACTTTGGGCGTTGTGATATCATATGGCGTTTGTTCATCTTGTAAAGGCTTATCATCGAGTACTGTGAGAATTAGGTTGGTGGGCCTTAAGGACAAAATATATGCTGAAGCATGAGTAATGGATAGTATTATTAATGATTATGGAGTAACTAATCAATACTAGAACATCAGGTGCTAGCATTAAGTATTTCGTGTTATTATTTATATAAAGATATATAAAAAATATTTAAGGTGAGAAAATTTGGTATTTTGATGGAAGTAACACTTGTTGAAGCAAGCAAAAAAGGGATTGAACTATTTTTATAAAGATAAAATATTTGAAATTAATAGAATAAAGGGTGATTACAAAATATGCACAACTTAAATGAATGTGAGTTTGATAATTATCACTTAATAATATTAGAAGATCAACTATGATTCTTGCAAGATTGATTCTAACACACTTAGGATCTATTATGCAAAAGAAAGTGGTTTGGTATGAGGGAATAACTTTCCAGTTGAAGCTGAATTGTTGAAACCAAGAAGCGTTTTAATTACCATGAAATAAGAGAATATCATTAAGAATTAAGATAAATCTCATTAAATTTTTTTAGATTGACCATGCTCAATGAATGTGTATGTTATGTAGCAAAATAGTCAATTAAAATAACTAGAAAATTAGTAATGTAAGTTGAAATTGAAATAAAACTTGACAGGATAGAGTTAGAAATTATTATTTTAATAATATTGAAAGATAAAATAGTTGAATATGGACTGTAATGGTTCATATATGTATTTTAGAGAACACGTGCCAATAAGAAGGATCAATAGAATGTCCGTGAAAATAATATGAATGGAAAGGGTGGATCTAAGTTAACATGGCGCTTTGTAGAACTTGCATAAACCATAGTTAATTTACCATATAGACTTAAACATGAATGATCGAAGAGAAGTCTCTTTGGTCATTGTAAGACGGAGTTGATGGTGATGGTGATAGGTTCTTTTTGTTCCTTCTAATTAATTTTCAGTAATTTATGTTATTTCTGTTTTTTAATTGTTTAAAGTGGCAAGTTCATGTATTATGTTTGCATATTGTTTTTTTTCTTTCTAAATCCTATACATTAGGACATTTGTCCACCTTTTAACTATGTTAAAAATTGTTTTCATTGCTTGGTTTTGGGCTTAATGGAAGCTTAATGATATTGTTGTAGGACTTGTAGAAGGTATTTTGAAATGGGATTTAGCGGAGATGTGGTTGTGGAATGACAAGATAAAGGCAATATGCGAGTTTGATGGTATTTGGACAAATTACAGGGATAGAATTGTTGTTGGACAGCAGGTTTGATGTCGTCGTCAGGTGTCCCATCTGCAAATAGCGGATAAAACTCCAAATCGGCGACGTTCGGGTGGCGAGGAGGTTCCGCTCAGGTGGGAGAATTCATGCTGATCGGGAAAATAGTGGGAATTCCACTCGATCAAGCTTGTGGGATGGCGTGGATCCCTTATACCAGGATTGGATCTAATTCCTGTTCACCTTCCCACATTTGCGTGATCGACTCCGTGACATGCGAAATCTCGCAATCACGGGTTCTTATGATCTTAATACCGCGGGACACATTATTAGAAAATTATTCTCGGCTTGGAGAGGCTTTGCCTTCTTCTCTGGAGGCTTTTGGAATCGATCTATGACCATTATAATAAATTCATCGCTTTAAAGTCTTCGAGACAATCCAACTGCAAAATTTATGCGTACGACCATTCCATGTAACTCTAAAACATATGTTATTCTAAAGATTGTCTTGATAGAATAAGTAGCCACCATTTTTTGCACTATCAGAACTAAAATTGCACACAAATGGGTATCAACACGAACTAAGCCATGAAAAATATGTAATTTGCTTCCCACACTTCTTGTACTCAGCTAAACGCATCCAATAAACAAATCTGTCTGGGAGAACAAACTTTGGAATGAAATCTATGACATACAAGACCACTCTCAGTGAAAACCACCCAAGAGATAAGCTGCCGGTCAGGATATCCTATGATTCTGTCAATAAGGGCCGTCTCGTTTCTATTATCTACTCCTCATGCTCACTACCTCATATAACAACTAATGTTAATCCAGTTGGAGTCTTTCTTATAGTTTCAAATTGAATCACTAGTGTCGCTTTTTCGTCAATTGAAAGTTGAGACTTCTGTCTAAAGCCTTCATCCTCTCCTGTATCATAGTCCATTTCTTCATGTGCTCACTGGTCCATGAAATAGATCATTATCTTATTTGGGCAATCTGATACATTGTGCCTAAAACTGTAGCACTTGAAGTACTTTCTGGCTGAGACAGATTTGTGTGTTCTGGTGGGCTCCACATTTTTTTCAATCTGGATTGGTTTCTCCTCTTGCAAAGTTTGGCTTGAATGCTCCACTGTGTGCACTCTTGCTGCTTAATTGTGAGGTTGAACTTTGTCTTTAAGGTGTGGCGATCACCTGGTGATGTTATTTATTCACCTTTAAAGTTAGGGTTTGAACATCCGATAATGTTCGATATGGTTGTAATTGTACAACATTGCCAATGGACAGTTTCAATCCTCCTAGATATTGAGCTAGTGTATTCTCCCCAGGTTTTACTAGCCCACACTTTGATATAAGTTGCTCAATCTGAGCGGAATACTCCTCTACCGATAGATCTTACTACTGTAAGTGATAAAATCTCAAAAGCATGTCTTGTCATATTGTGTTGGTAGATAATTGCGCTACATTTCTCTTTTCATCCTGAACCATGTAGTAATTTTATTCTTTTATTCTCATTGTCGAAGATGCTTTAGGTCCTTCCATCATAAAGAAATATTATTCCTTAGCTTAGCAGCGGCTAGCTTGACCTTTATGTCAGGTGGAATTTCCTTATACTCAAAAACTTGTTCCACTGTATGGAGCCACTCGATAAATTTGTTTGGATCTATGCGACAGTTGACACTTGGCAAATCAATATTCACTCTATTATCTGGCTTCTACTATAATATTCAATGCCACATCAACATGTATCGTCATTGAAAATTTCCTAATGGAAGGGATTCACTTCTTAATCTCTATATGACAAGTCACCGTTGTCGTTACATGTGACCTCACCAAATTGTATTTCTCAAATGCGACAAGTTTCTGTTGCATTTGGAGGATTTTTCGCTGCATATCCTCCATAGTAAGCTACTGGGTACTTTTTGCAGATTTCTCCTAGCGCCATTGTGTCATTTTCTCTCGTTTAAGAATTCGATGGGTGTAGTTGTAGATAAAAAATTAGTGGAAGTTGAAGGTTTTGAGGGTAGGTGTCGGGACAAATTTTTAGCGGAGGAAGTAATGTTAAATTTTGAAAATTTTGGATTGGAACTAGAATTGTTGTAGGAATGATTTAGGTATAGTGATTTTTTTTTTTTTTTTTTGAATTTTGGATTGTGGCTATAAAGGCAAATCCCTCAAAATTTAGGATTTGTCGGGCGCTGCTATAAGATGATAACGTTCTAGGGTTCCCATATGGTATTTAGGAAGTAATTTTGGTGGTGAATTGGTTATGGGATAACAAATAAGTGGAAATATGAAGTATTGACGATGTTTGAATGATGATAGTAGCTGAAATCAGCTGTGAGACAACATATTTCATGTATTTGACGGCTGTCTCACTTGAAAACGACTCAAATGAGGACACGCCAAGATATGGGCGGCGAGAAAATTCCATTATATGTTCTTGAGCAAGATACAATCACATCACTTGCAAAAGAAAATAATACAACACTCTATTAACATAAAAATCATAGATACAATATCTAAAACACACAAAACAAAAAATGTTTCTTTAATATAAAAAAAACAAACATATAAATAGTCATCTCAAATGCCCTAAATATAAATAAAGAAACATAAAAAATGAGCCCACAAGGGATTGGTGGCTACACCAGGTGGG